TTTTTTTTTTTGTAGTTGTCCTTGTTGTTTGGCAGGCCTGGGTTGGGTTTGAACCTGCCAACCTCAGTGTATGTGGCCAGCGCCCTAGCAGCTGTGCTCCAGGCCCTGATCTGAATGAGAGTGTTCTTGATGGTGTCCAGTCTCAGTCTCACGTCTCATGCTATCTTAGAGCCTTTGGTTCCACCATCTGGCTTGTGGAACAGCAGGTCTCCATCTTCTTTAGCTTGCATAGCCCTCCAAGGAGCCCATATTTTAGGCTTTTTCCTTCTCACCCCTCCCACTGTGCTGAATCATACCCACCCCTCCACTGTGTGAGTCTGTCCTTCCTTCACCTCTGGGACCTGGCCTCTGACTCAGCTCCCAGCTCCCCTTAGCGAGCTCAGGCCCAGCTCCAGGACTCTGATCAATGCATGGCTTGGGCTGAGATTTGGCGAGGGGTGTGTAGGGGGTGCCCTGATACTGGCTCAACTGGCTCAAGGCCATTTGGGAGCCTTTTAAGGTTGGAAAAGCAGCTTGGGGCAAGGCGGCTGTCAGCCCTTGATAGGGAGTTCTATTTGCCAGTTGAACTTCCCTGAGCTTCGGGTTTCCTCATTGTAAACCAGAGATAATTATGCCATCCTTACAGATGAAAGTGAATGTGTGAACGAGCTTTATGAACTGTAAAACTGTAGACAAATGTTGGTTGTTAGTGTTATTAAGGGGTGATGTGCTCAGGCTTTCATGAGGAATCTGGGAAGTGCCTTATCCTTCTCTGCCCTTTTCTTCACACTCTCTGTGCCTTGGGGACTCTGGCCCCACCCCCCCACCCCTGCAAAGCTCACAGCCCCCAGGCTCTCCGTATTTCCCAGCCTCTCATCCTCAGCCTGTCATGGTATCTCTGGGGAGTTAGAAAGCCTTCATCACATTGGTCTGATGCACCAGGCATTGCAGCAAGAGAACAGCCCCCATAAGTCAGGCTGGCTTGAGGGCCCCAGGGCCTGAGAAACAGGCATGTGGGTCTAGACTCAGCTCTGGCTACTGTGGAGCAAGCTGACTTTCTTACCCTACAAGGCACTGTTTGGTCCAGAGTGGCTGGACAGGGGCCAGTGGACCTGGAGAGAAGCAGGAGTAGGCGGAACCAGGGGTGGCACAGACATTTGGCAAGGACAGGGCACTGGGGGGTCCCAGGCCTGCACTCTGCAGGGAGTGAGGGGTGTGGCTATGGGAAGATGTCCAGCAGTGTGGTTGTGGGTGTGGTGGGGAGCAGGTGGAGGGAGGCAGTGAGCAGTGTCTCATGGGAAGAGTCCTGGATGCAGCCACCTCCCTTTCTTGCTCCTCACCCACCCCCTGCCCATGCCATGGTAACCAGGGCTAGTTGCCCAGCACCCTCTTGAGGTGCCCACCCAACAGCGCCTGATTTTGAGAGCCCACAGATCTCAATTCCTGGTTGCTAACCGTGGTAACCAGAGAATGGTTAACTAGAGAATGCAGCCTCAGGTGGTGTGGTTTAGGGGTGGGGTCTGTGCAAGTGGGGCCTGGTCCTCACCAGCTCCTTAGGCCCCTCCCACTCCACTGAATAACTCTACGAAGACCACAGCCCTTCTCCCAAAGGAGATGTGAGGATCAGGGTGGGTGACTGTGGAGTATGAGAAATGTGCTTAACCAAAGCAAAGCATTCTCAGCTGCTGCCTGCATCCATCACACGAGCATTTATTGAGTGCCGACCTGGTGCCAAGTGCTACATCTCTCTAAACAGTTTCTTCTGTTTGGAGAGTGCCTTATACTTTTTCCAATCCTATTCACATCTCTTCCCTTGAGCTACATTGTGCTATGTATACCCCTTGAAGAGACATATGACAGGTGGCAGTATTCCCATTTTACAGATGGGAAGACAGAAATGTGGAAAGTAAAGTGATGTAGAGCTGGCACCAGGCCAGCAGCCTTTTTGCAGACCTTTTTGCAGTCTGCCTAGGATGTCATAAGCAACAGATGATTTAGTGTGATAGAAACAAGTCCCCCATGAAGCAAATAAACTTAGTGTGAGTGACAGATAAAAAAATCACGTGATTAGTTACTGCCTACTGAGTGCTTCATAGATATCAGGCCAGTGATGATTGAGTTGTCACATTTAATCCAGCCCTGTGAGGTAGGTTCTATTATTATGCCCATGTTACAGAGGAGGAAATTGAGGCTTGGAAAGCTTTAGCAAATTGCTCTAAAGCAGCACTGATCAATAGAACTTTCTGTGATGATGGAAATTTTCTATATGTACACTGTCCAATATGGTAGTTACTAGCCACCTGTGGTCACTGAGCACTTGAAATGTGGCTTCAGTGAGTAACTGTGCATTTAAATGGTCTCAGGTGGCTGGGGACTACCTCATTGGGATACTCAGCTGTAAGAGCCTAGGGCCAGTTGGAGGCAGGAGTCAGGCTATGAAGCCCTGTCTCTGAGTCACCCAAGCTTACAGGCCTACCCACTACCCTACCCAACCTTTTTCCTGCCACTCTAAAAGAGTTCAAGGTTGATGTAGAATTTTGCTCGAGCTAACTAGGGGGGGACTCCTGGTTCCCTTTGTGGTTGGGTCATTCTGAGGGTTTTTCTCTCCTGCTTGTGTTGACTCCTCACCTTCACAGTGGCTGTGGTCCCATTCATTTCCTTTACATGCCTAGTTTGAGCTCATGTGACTCACACACACTGTGAGCTCTGACAGGAGGTCCTCAGGTGCTGGTCAGGGGGAAAGGGGATATGGGAGGCTCCAGGGGCCCACCTCAGTCATCCCCTTAAGCACAGGTTCTTAGTTGAGCCCAGGATTCTAGCATTTTCCAGCAGAGACCTTGGCCTCTTCACTTATCTTAGCTGGCACAGTTTATCTGTAGAGTGAGTATCATCATAACTCCTGGGCTGCTTACTCAGTAAGATTGCCAGGTCTGGGGAGGGCGAATTGGCGGAGGACATTTGGGCCAGAGAATGTAATAGCTCATCAAGGCTCACTCTGGTCCCACTATATGGTCAACACCATCACAACAGAAAAGAACGTGCTTACTGGGGTCATGAATCCAGAAGGAACAGAGGAAAACCATGGGACCAATGTCTGCACCCTCTTCTCTTGCCTCTGGTCCCCAGACACTTGCTGCACAGTTGCAGATTGTCCCTTGTGATAGCAATGGCTGCCAGTGGAGGGCAATGCCCTGTGGCCCCTGTTGTCATCCCTTAGTGGAGTTTAGACAAAATCTGGAAAAGCAGCAGAGTGTAGTCTCCTTGTTCAAACTCAGCCCTCCCTCCCAACTCCTGTCTGCCTGACAGGTTGACTCCCTAGGGTTGTTAACTAGAGTGGGACATTTGTGGCCTGTCAGAAGAATGGAGAGCTAATTTACTATTGATGCTAAGACTTTGTTTAACCTAGAACAATCTAACATAATCATATGAAAGCAATTAGACACTTCTAGGGCTAGGTCAGGGTGACCCTCATGAAATTCACTCTGGTGCCTTGTACCTTTCCAAGAAAACCTGAAACTTTAGCACAACTCTTCTCATTGTTCAAGGGAAGACATTCATGTCAGCCCCCCTGGGAAGGGTCTACCTCCTGGCTGCCTCATGCCCCCTTTTCTCCCTCTTTCATATAGTGGCATCACCACAACCTGCTGGGATAGGACATTTGGAGGGCAGTTTCAGAGGGGCCAAACCACAGAGAACACAAAGAAGTGGGTTAACTATAGTGTGTCACTGCCTTCCTCAAAAATCCAGAGTCCCCTTTGCTTCTAGAGTAAAGCCATACGCCTTCAGCTGGCCTCTACCATCTGGACTCTGAGGCTGACCTTTGGTGGCAGTGGGGGACACCTGTTCTAATGCTGGGATGCTCAGTCCTGATTTCTTTACCCACTTCTGTAGCCAGGCACTGGTGCCTCAGCCCTCTGTGCACATGCTTTTTGGCTCAAACATTTGCTTGAACATACAGTTTCCTCTCCCTAGAATGCTTTTCCATTTGCTTAAACCAAAGTCTAATTCTAGTACTGCCTCCTCCTTCTGTTCCCTCTTTCTCCATGAGCCAAAAGTCATCTCCCGCTCTCCGTACCCCCAGGCCTTATCTGCTCCCATCTTGTTACCTTCTCATTTGGACTTGCTCTTTATAGTCATTTGCATATGAGGCTTGTCTTTCCCATCAGCCAGAGGTTCCTGAAGCCACTATCACATCTTTCCCACTTGTTAGTCCTCCTAAACAGTCAGGGGCTATGGGTGAGGTGGCAGGAGGTGGGCAGACTCCCCATGGCTTTCTAAGCCCTTTGGAATAACCTGGGCAGCACGCAGAGGCTCAGCAGATCATACAGTGACAAAGGTCATGAGGCTCTGCCTGAAAGTGTGGATGGGATGGGAGAGAAGACCCTAGGTAGAGGTCCTTGGAATGTCATTCCCAGACCAGCACCATATGCATCACCTGGAGAATGTGTCAGGAATGAAATTATTGGGCTGGGTGCAATAGCTCACACCTGTAATCCTAGCATTCTGGGAGGCTAAGGCAGGTGGATTGCTTGAACTCAGGAGTTCTAGACCAGCCTGAGTGGCCTATTTTTTTCTAAAAAAAAAAATAAAGAAAAATTAGCCAGCTTGGTAGTACATGCCTGTAGTCTCAGCAACTCAGAAGGCTGAGACAAAAGGATCATTTCAGTCCAGGAGTTTGAAGTTGTGTGGGGTATAGCAGAGTGAGACTCTGTCTCAAAAAAAAAAAAAAAAAAATGCAATTATTGGTCCCAGCCCAGTCCCACCAAATCAGAAACTCTGGGGGTAAGGCCCAGCAATCTGTGTTCTAAGGAGCCATCTGGGTAATTTGATGCACAAGAGAACAACTGCTACAGACTTCGAGCCCTTGCCTAAGATGGGAAGCCAGTGAGTGCTGTGGAAACCACACAGGCTATGGAGTCAGATCTCCTAGGTTCAAAGCCCTGCTCTGAAGTTTAATGGCCCAGGGAGGTGAGACTCGGTGATACCACCTCTTTGGGCTGTTCTTCTTCCATGAGGATCAGTAATGGTGCCTAAACTTTGATGTACATAAGAGTCACCTGGGGTGCTTTTTAAAAATACAGTTTCTTGGCTCTGTGCCTGTAGCTCAGTAGTTAGGACATTGTGGAGAGCACCTGTAGTCCCAGCTACCTGGGAGGCTGAGTATTTTCATTAAGTGAGTTTGACCTGGGAGCAGTGTTGAAAGGACAGACGTGCATAGGTCAGGTCAGCATGGGGGTGTGTGTGTGAATGGAGCATTGCTTCCTGGGCACTTGTTTAGGGCCAGTGAGTGTATGTGCCTGTTAAGTTCAGGGGTCATCTCCTCCTGGCTTCCTGGCTGATGTAACCAGGTTGTCCACAGTAAGAGCTGGGCTTGTGGATGGAGCAGGGGCTGGGATATCAGGGACTGACTGTAAAGGTGGCTTTGGATATGGGGCCAGGGAAACCCAGATGGCACCAGACCCTGGCATGGAGCCCCTGGGAACCTTGATCGGCCTCCTTAACTATGCAGTTTTGGGGGTATGGAGAGGTAGGGACCACCAACTTGTCTCAAAGAGACCTGATTCTGCCCTTTCTGGAGGCTGAGACTTCTGCCTGGGCTGATTTGGCTGTTTGTCTCTCCTGGAGGGGCTTGAGGACCAGCGTGCTTGATGGCTAGATGCCCCTAGGGTGCTGTTCCCCCAGCCACCACCAGGAGTCTCTAAGGTTCCCACAGACCCTGCCCATCCAGCGCTGACTCTGTCTCCCTCCCTGGGCCTGGGACGCCTCAGCACCCCACAGTCTGGAGGTGAGCCTGAAGCTCCAGGATCATGGAGGGGAGGGGGTGCCTATCTCCAGGGGCCATGCCTGTGATCTCAGCATCAGCTGAGGGCAACCCCTTGAGCACCAAGTGCCTTTCTGACTGCCTTCCCCACCCCCACCTCAAAACAGTCAGCCTTAATGGTGGGCCCCTCCTTCATCTGGCCCTCACCCCTGCTTCCTCACTGGTGTGCTGGGAAACATAGGTCATTGCCTGGGAATGTGGCCTTGCTGAGATGACAGGAGGAGGAAGAACACATGACCCCTGTTCAATACTTAATTCTCTCTGGTTCTGTTTCCAAGCCCCTTCCTCAGCCTATAAACAAGCAGGTGCTAGTTATGAGGGGTCATTTAGGGGAAACAGTCCCCATTCTTCTCACCATTGGCCCTGTGGGGCCAGCGGGTAAAGGCAAGTTGCCAGCAGGTGCCCTAGCAGAGCCAGCAGGAAGTTTGGGTACAGGGCTAGTGTCCTGAGGTGGCTGCTGGCTCAAGCCTACCATGGCAGGAACAAGGAGGTAGAGGTGGGATCTGGGCCCCCTCAGATTGAGGAGGGCACCTCTGGGAAGGAGGTGAAAGTCCTGACAGTTCTCTGATTCTCAATTCAGGGGAAACCATGTGGCCCGTCTTTGTAGTATTTGGGTCTCATTAGCGCATTCCCAGGTTGGTGAGCTTAATGGTTTGGTTAGGATGAGGGATAACTGGGGGCCATTTCTCATGGGAGCCGCCCTTGGTGGATGTGTCCAAGCAGATCAGGGTGAACCACCGCGCTCTCTCCTGTCTTGCTTTGGGGACTGGGGCACCCACACCTTGAGTCAAGGCACCACCCAGAGGGCTTTGCTCTTGTCAGGGCCTAGAAGCTGTAAGAAGAGAAAAGACAGATCCCACTGCGCTGCTGAGCAGTGAGCAGGGTGGCTAAATTCAGCCTTGCTGCACTTTGCCCCTCCCTGCTCCTCCCCTCGGGGCCCAGGCTGCCTGTGGTCTCAGCAGGCACCACCTTCCCGGGCAGCTGCCGGACTGCCTGCCACCCAGCTTCTCCCCTGCCCAGCCCCCACCTCCTCCATCCCCCTCCCGCAGGGCCTTCTCAGTGCGGCCCTCAGCTGGGTCAGCGAGGCTGGGCTCCTGGACTCCTACTCCCTTGAGAGCCCTGTGGGGTGGGCAGAGGGCAGGCAGCAGGAGGGCCAGGTGCCAGGGCAAAGCTTCAAGACAGGCGCAGCCTGGGGTCTGTGTGCAGAGTTTTGGGTGAGTTGGGGTGCAGCCCTGACGGGGGCTTAGGGTGGGGAGACAGAAGGAGGGGCCAGGGGCTGTGGCAGATTCATGTCTGTATTTGGCAGTCGGATAGGAGCCAGCTCAGTGAGGCTGGGCCCCTGGCCAGTTGCGGGGGAGGGCGTCAGGGCCCTCGGGACACCCCTCCCCCAAGGCAGACTCTGGTGGTCCCCTCCTCCCCAGTTTGAGCTGCCCTGTTTTGTGGATTATTCCAGCTCTGCTTTTCTATCCCCTGAGAGTTTGGGGTCCATGCTTTCTATAGGGCTGGGGTCAATAGGTGTTCCTGGGCTTTCTGTGTCAGGAAGCTGAGAAGGGAGAGGGGGAAGGGCAGGCTGGATGGTGCCACCCCATTGGCTCTGGCCTGAGGTCAGGATGGGGCTGGTCTGAGGTATGTGTTCCTCTGCACCAGGCCCAGCTTACCCAAGAAACAGGCATCCTGCCTGTGCCGCTCTGGGGTCCCAGTGATGTGCACCACTTGCCTTTGGAGCTGGTGACTGGTAGTTTGGACCCCATCTCCATGCCAGGAATGTGGGTTCCTAGCTCCAGTGGAATTCTAGGTCTTGAACAAGGCCCAGGAGGGACCCATCTGCTGCTTGAATCCTTTGCCCCAGGCCATTCCTATGGTGTCCTCTCTCATGGGGTCAGCAAGGTCAGTGTTGCAGAGTCTGTGGCAGAGAAGGAGTCAGGAGCTCCGAGAGAGCAAGCACCTGGGCAAGGCCACACTGCAAGTGAGTGGGGACCCAGAGGTAAAGTCAGGCAGGTCCAGCCTACGGATAACTGCTTCAACTCCTGGCCTCCTGCGACATTCCAGCCGGCCCCTTCCTGTCCTGGCATCTTCTTCTATGTCTCCTCCAGGTGGGTCCTCATCCCCTTTCAGCAGCCCCATCACCTCAGACGAAGAGTACCTGAGCCCCCCAGAGGAGTTCCCGGAGCCTGGAGAGACCTGGCCCCGAACCCCCACCATGAAGCTCAGTCCCAGCCAGAACCACCGTTCTTCTGATACTGGCTCCAAGGCACCCCCTACCTTCAAGGTCAGAGCCCCAAGGCTGGTACCCAGTCCCCCATGTGCCCCAGTCTTTGTTCCTGAGGCCATGCTTAGGCTCCAGCAAGAACTGGAACTTGGCTCCTGTTTAACCCTTCTTACCCAGAGCCAGCCTCTGTCAGGCTGTGTGGAAGAGTCCTGTCCCAGATCCTCCAGCCCCCCAGGAACCATAGCTGTTCCCTGTCTTTCCTGACACTCTGGGGTCCCCCTGCAGGTCTCACTTATGGACCAGTCAGTAAGAGAAGGCCAAGATGTAATAATGAGCATCCGTGTGCAGGGGGAACCCAAGCCCGTGGTCTCCTGGTGAGTAGCAGCCATTTGCATCACCCACCAGCATCTCTGCTCCAGGCTCAGCCCTGCCAGGCTGCCATTGGGTGAAAAGGAGTGGACTCTTTGTGAACTTCCCCATAAGCTGCCTCACCCCAATGGGCCTTGTCCCAAGGACAACAGTGCCATTCCCCCAACACTCCTGCCCCTCACCCTGGGGTCTAGGCTTATTTATGGCTTCCCTTTCTAGGGATGGGCTTGGGTAATAAATTATCTCATGTCTATCCATGTAGGATAAATGACCAGGAGTCCTTTTGATCCTGGAGAAGGTTGCCCACCCTCATCCCCATCAATTGATAGCAGGGTGACTTTTGAGGTCCACTGCATGTCCAGCTTTGTGCTAGGCCCAGGCTTGACAATTTGTTTCTAAGCTGCCAAAACCCCAGAGTTAAATGTGGGTCTCAGCCAGGTGCCTAGAACATCGATCCCACAGCTTACCTATTTTTTTATTGGTTTGGGTTCTAGTTTTTGTTTTTAATTGATTGTCTGGTCCCTGCTGTAATTTTTTTTTATAAGTTCTTTATATCCCTTTTGGGAAGTGGGAAAGCTATCTGTCTATTATAAATAAATAAAAATAAGACATAAGGAAGTTTAAAAACTATTAAAAGCCAAATAGCATGGCTCTCCGGAGAGATCTAGGAGGGCAGAGATGGTCTGGAAGTTCCATATATCAGGGTGAGATGACATAGTCAGGGTGAAGACCTTGCCCTGGCACCCAGGGGTGCCCACAGCCAGTGTAGTGAGTTATATGGGGGAAGAGAAGCCCACCTGTGTGGCTCTGTGGCCCTACCTCCCTGCACCTACAGATCAATCCTAGGGCCAGGACTGAGTTCTTGCCCTTCTGACAGGCTGAGGAATCGCCAGCCCGTGCGCCCAGACCAGCGGCGCTTCGCAGAGGAAGCAGAGGGTGGGCTGTGCCGGCTGCGGATCCTGGCTGCTGAGCGGGGAGATGCGGGCTTCTACACGTGCAAAGCGGTCAACGAGTATGGCGCTCGGCAATGTGAGGCCCGTCTGGAGGTCCGAGGTGAGTGCCTCACACATTCCATAAACCCCCACCGGGTCCTGCTCTGGCTTTACCCACTGATGACTCTCACACAGCCTCAATTCCAGGATATCACCACCTTAGGGGTCCCCTAGTCCAGCTGCTTATATTGTAGTTGAGTAAGCTGAGGCCCAGAGAGAGCAAGTGACTCCTGGAGCACACAGCAGATAGTTCTGTGCTCAGTGTACTATACCACGTTGCCTCCCCCATGCTCCATCACACAGCCCTGGCAGCAGCCAGAGACCCTGTGCCTGCCACTAGCCATCCTCTCTGTATACTCTTCTGAGTCTTTGTCATCTGCTCTGCCCAGGCTCCTCTCTCACCTCCTCACCCCTGTCTCCTCTTGCCCCCTTGCCCATCTTGCCCATCCCATTGCTGTGCAAAAGCTTTTGTGGTTGGGGATAGCAGTGGGTGAGTGGTGGTTGGACCCGTTCGGAGAGGCCTGTGGGGTGACTTGGCATGGAGCATCATAGAGACCCCAGGATGCCAGGGTGAGAATAGCTGTGAGATGTGGAGAGGTCTGGACCTCCAGAGTTGGGGGCACAAGGGCAAGGGCCCTATTCAGCAGTTCGGGATGACTGGCCTAAGCTAGGCTATCCTCCCAAGGCTGGTGGGTTTTCCCTCCTGAGGGCTGGCCATTGCCTGGTCTTCCACCTTTCCCCATGATGGAGCAGGACCAAAGACCTCTTGTAGCTCCTCCCTCAGCCCTGAGTCCTTCCTGCATCCCACAAAGCTCAGTCCTTCCATGCTCAGCAGAGGCCATCTCTGAGAACTTCCCAAGATACCCCTAAGCCACCTGCTGGGACCAATGCCCTAATAGTCATGGTCCCTCTGCAGGGACCCACCTGCCTCAGTGATCCTCCCCTGCACCTCCCATTCTTGTGGTTGCCTTCCCTAGCCAGCTCCAGATTCTTCAGGCCCCATTCTCTGCTCTGTTCCTTCTCCTCCAGGCTCTGGCTCTGCCTTGCTTCTCCGTGTTAACCCGTGTCTCAGTGTTTTTCTCTCTTTGGGATTCCTTTCAACAATCCCCAGGCTGTAGGGTGCTCTGAATCCCTGTGAATGCCTCTCCCCTGGTGGCCCAGGCCTCTGTCTGTCCAGGAACCCTGGTGACCTGGCCTCTGGTCAGCTGCTAGCCCTCCTGGCCTGTGGCTGGTCTTGGGGGACTTAGGGGAGCTAAGAGACAGCTCTCCATCCAGAAGGGCCCTAGCCAGGTCTGTGTGCCTGTGCGTGTGTGTGTGCGCGCGTGTGTGCTGCACTAACCTGCTGCTTGCTGACTGAGGTTTTTGTCTGTACACAGGCGAGTGAGCTCAGGGGGCCACCTGTGCTCCCCCCGCTACCCTCCGAGCCGCGCCCCTGTCTCAGGCACCTCTCGGACCTCGCTGTGTTTCACTGCCTCCTGCCCACAGACCCAGGCCCGCCGGCCCGGACCCGTCCCAGCCTTCCCTCCCCACCCCATGCAGCACCCTGGGATAGCCCATGGGCCCCTGTGGACCCTCCCTCCCTGAGTGGACACATGGCTATGCAGGCCAGGAGGCCACCACATGGACTGAGTGCTGGGAAGGGGCGGCCATGCAGGGTATAAAGCCACCCAGTCTTTCCCTGCAGGGAAGCATCAAGCGTGTGCATGTGCTACTGCTGCTGCAGGCCTGTCTATCCGTTTGTCTGTCTGTGTGTCTGTGACAGTCAGGAAATAATGCTTCTGAAAAGGGGCGGGTGAGGCAGAGTGGGAGAGGACAGGCTGTGGCATCTGCCAGGTAGAGGGGCCCTGAGGGGCAGGTCACTGACTATTCCTAAAATGGGTTTCTAACGGCACAACACTTTATATTCCACAAGAGACCAAAAGCCAGAGGCCCGAGACTCTGTGCTGCTGAAGTGGCCTGGTTGAGTCCCAACCCTAGCGAGTGTAGGGCCCATGGTGGGGCTCCCTCCTTCATTGTCAGGACCAGGGACACTGTCTGGGAATGAGGGAGTTGACCAGGCTTGGTGCCAGAGCAGGGGCTGCTGTCCTGGGTGTAGAGATTCTCGGAAACACCTATTTCTTAGTTCAAATAAAGTCCAGTTTGTACCCAGCTGGTGTGCTGTGTTTTTCTTTTTGCGCCGCCGTCTCTGCCACCACATGGCCCTTTCAATTTCCCCTCCCCCAGGGCCCCTTTGCGTGCCATGAGTCACCCTTCCTGGCCCAGCCTGGGTTGCCATCTTGAAGCCAAATCTAGGCACTCCTTGCTATCCTGGCCAGGTGGGTGGGCTTTCCCCGTCTCTAGTGGAACAAAATGCATCTCTCTCTCTGTGTCTGTCTGTCTCTCTGTGTGTGCGTGTGTGTGTCTCCCTCACCCTGTGTATCTCTGCTCTGTGTGTGGACCCCGTGGCCGCTTTCCCCCCAGCACACCCTGAAAGCCGGTCCTTGGCCGTGCTGGCCCCCCTGCAGGACGTGGACGTGGGGGCCGGGGAGATGGCGCTGTTTGAGTGCCTGGTGGCAGGTCCTGCCGATGTGGAGGTGGACTGGCTATGTCGTGGCCGCCTGCTGCAGCCTGCACTGCTCAAATGCAAGATGCATTTCGACGGCCGTAAGTGCAAGCTGCTGCTCACCTCTGTGCATGAGGACGACAGTGGGGTCTACACTTGCAAGCTCAGCACGGCCAAAGGTAACTGCCCACTTAGGCCTAGGGCTGCTGTGGGCACCTGAGAGCTGGAGGGAGGAAGCTGAAGGAACAGTGTACACTCCCAGGAAACAAGGCTTTGTCTCCAGGGGGAGGTACAAGGAGTGGGAGATAGGATGGCAGCCCTGCCTCAATAAACCCAGCGCTTAGCCTGGTAGCTGGCACAAAGGAAGTGCTGCGTCAGGGTTAGCTGTACCCGTAAGTGAGCAAGTCTGTTAAGAAGTAGCAGGAAACAGAGTCAGGCTCCAATTCCTGCTCTGCAGGTTTCCAAGTCACTTCACCGCTTTGAGCTCTTGATTCTTTTATCTGTAGAAAGGGGATCATGATAATACTCCATAGGGGGATTGGTAGGATTAATGACATAATATGGAAAAAACAAAGCACAGAGGTGCCTGTCAAGGGTAGCAACTAATAACTGTCAACCACTGTTGCTAATGACATCTCTGACCTGGTCCTGTCCTCATGTGAAGAGCAGGGCTGATGGCATCTACCTCATCAGGGTGTGGGTGATGGCGCCTGAGGTGAAGCTGGAAGGTTTTATAAGCGGGAAGAGGCATCAGATCAGCATAAGAGACTACTCTCTCCTCTTTCTGGGATGGTAGAGTGTGGCTAAGGGCATCTGCTCTGTGTCTGGGGCAGGCAGGAATGTGGGCATGACCTGGGCATGGAAGAGAGTCCCAAAGAGGGCCATGAGGTAGGGCTTGGCTTCTGGGACCCTCCCAGACCTGGGCTATGCTTCCAATTGGGTGGTCAGAGTGAGGTGAGGAGGAGACAGTGGGGCCAGACCCTAGTGTTTCCAGCCAGCCACCCTTCTATTGTGTATACGCCCTCCCAAGAAGGTCACCTCCAATGCCGAAAGCCTTTGCTAGGCCCTGCCCAGCCTTAGAACAGGACTGGTAGGTTGGGGTGTCTGGGCCTTCGTGGCCTTTCCTGTCTCTGCACTGTCTCCTGTTCCCTGCCTCCAGATGAACTGACCTGCAGTGCCCGCCTGACCGTGCGGCCCTCACTGGCACCCCTGTTCACGCGGCTGCTGGAAGATGTGGAGGTGCTGGAGGGCAGAGCTGCCCGTTTCGACTGCAAGATCAGTGGCACTCCACCACCCTCAGTGACCTGGACTCACTTTGGTATGACACCTCCCTCAGCAGGTGCTGGGGGACCCCCAGGGACCTAAGCCAGGATGGGGTGAACTGAGGGCAGGGATCCCTGGTGTTCTCTGCATTCCCATCCCTCCCTCCCCCAGGCCACCCTGTGGAGGAGAGTGACAACTTGCGGCTGCAGCAGGATGGGGGTCTGCACTCACTGCACATCACTCATGTGGGCAGCGAGGATGAGGGACTCTATGAGGTCAGTGCCACCAATACCCATGGCCAGGCACACTGCTCAGCCCAGCTCTATGTGGAGGAGCCCCGGACGGCAGCTACAGGCCCCAGGTACTGCCTAGAGCCCCAGGCGCCAGTGCTGCCTTTGAGAGGCCAGCCCAGCCCTGCAGTGGGAGCCATAGCCCAGGCTTCTGGGCAACCATATGGTTCTTATAGCTCTAAGCTGGAGAAGATGCCATCTATCCCCGAGGAGCCAGAGCAGGGCGAGCTAGAGCGGCTGTCCATTCCCGACTTCCTGCGACCACTACAAGACCTGGAGGTGGGACTGGCCAAGGAGGTCATGCTGGAGTGCCAGGTGACTGGCCTGCCCTACCCCACCATCAGCTGGTTCCACAATGGCCACCGCATCCAGAGCAGTGACGACCGGCGCATGACACAGTGTATGTGCCCAAGAAGGGACCCTTGGGAGAGTCCCCTCCAGCACCCTCTTGGCTTGAAGTGCACTGTCCTTCTCCCTGGCTTCCCTCAGGGCCTTCCCTCTGTAGTCTGGTCAGGGATGGGGCACCCAGAGAAGGAGCCCAGAGGGGCTGTGAAATTATGGCCTCCATCTCAAGGCTGCACAGCCCTCGTCTGCTGAGTCACCCCTTGGTGGCCCTGTGAGCACTCACTGGACAGGCAGGAAAGCCTCCTGCTGACCAGTTCATGCCCATGAGCACATTATAGAACCCCTCTGTGCCTCAGTTTCCTTATCTGTAGTTGAGTTATTCCAAGATTAAATTAGTTGATACATACAAAGCACTTAGAGCAAGTCCTGGCAAATAGCAAGTGGTCAAGAAATGTTAACCCTTACTGGTGTTGCTATTAGTTGTTGCCTTCATTATCATTGTGGATAAAGCAGTGCAGAGCTGCTTCTACAGACATTTCAGTGCAAAAGCAGGAGTGGGTAGCATCTAGCATGGAAAAGATGCTTGGTTTGGGGCTGATGACTAATAGCAAATAAAGAAGGAGTAGGAGAAATGCAGAGGAACATATTTAGGCTGGTGTCCTCTTAGCCTGGGATATCCTCTCATGGGAGCATTTCAGTTCCATCCTTGAAGGAACTTGAGTCTTGCGTTAGGAGGTCTGCCCACCTTCCCTAAGACACTGCTCATACCATGACCTATGATGGTTTCCTCTTATAGCTGTAGCACAACAAAAAGTCACCTTTGTTAAATGCTTTCTAAGTGCCAGGCCCTGAGTGCTAAAAGCCTTATGTGGACCATTTACCTTGCCACAGGCCTATAATGAGGAACTAGTAGCCCCATTTATAGATGAGAAAGCTGGGCTTACAGAAGTAAAGGAACTTGCTTAAAGGCAAGCAAGAACCATCTGACCCCGTTGACCATCTCCTAACCAGGATGCCCTCTCACTCATGTTCCATTCTCCCTACCCTACCCACCACCATAGTTCTGACCCTTGCCCTCAGTCTCCCACCCCTTCTCAGCTGTCTTTGCTCAGTCACCAGCTTTCCTGTCTCCTGATCTATGCTGAGGCCTTGGGTGGGTTTGTCTTGGCATATGAGCTGGCGTCATTGCTTCTATCTGTATCTGGGGTCACTGGCAGCCTTGGCTTCTCTTCCCTTATAAATAGTGTCAGAAGAGATAAATGAATGGGTAGCTGTTCTATGCGGAGATAACCACTAAGAGAAAGGAGGGGTGTTTTGAGACAGTCCTGATGTGAAGGAGGACAGTGCAGGCCTCCTCTTGTGTCCTCGCCAGAGACAGCCTTCTTATCATTCCGGGAGCAGGGTATAAGGAAAGAGCTTTGGAATCAGATGGAACCAAGTTCAAGCCATGGCTTCATCATTGCTACCCTTCATCATTTATTAGCTATGTGACCTTGGACAAGTCCATTAATGTCTCTGACCTCATTGGTAAAATGGGGATCATTTTGTCAGATTGTTGAAAAGATTGTGGGCGGGGGGAACCATGTCAAGTACCTAATACAGACTGGGTGTGGACAGCTCATAATTTATAATGTATTTGGCACTAACAGCATGCAAACTCCTAGGTCTGGACAAGCAGATCTAACAAAGTCAGTCCTCTCTGTAGGGAGCTTGTGGGCTGGGTCAGGTGCTATGGCTCATGCAAGTAAAGAGGAAGAACCCCCCAAATACACATACCCCCACAAAGCAGTGTCACGGGCTGGTGCCCAGTGATGCACAAGGGGAGCATTGGAGCCCTGCAAGGGAGTCAATGGATGGGGCAGAGGGGACCGGGGCACTGTGTGGGAGGATTCACAGGGCTGTACTCACAAACTACATCTTGAAGGAGAAGAAAGCCTTTGGTAAGAGGAGAAAAGCAAGGCCTGGTGTAGGGCCTGAATCCTAACAGTCTAGGAGGATGAGGCAGGTGGATTGAGGATTGCTTGAGCTCAGAGTTTGAGACTGGCCTGAGCAAGAGTGAGACCCCATCTCTGCTGAAAATAGCAAAACTAGCTGGGCATGGTGGTAGGTGCCTATAGTCCCAGTTACTTGAAAGGCTGAGGCAAGAGGATCTTCTAAACCCAGGGGTTTGAGGTTGCTGTGAGCTATGTTGATGCTGCAGCACTCTACTCAGGGCAACAGAGTGAGACTTAGTTTTAAAAAAGAGAGAGAGAGAGAGAGCGAACATTCCAAAAGGGAGGAGTCTTGTGAACAGAGACCTAAAGATGGAAATCACAGGCTTTTTCAGGGCCACAATAGCTTGTCAGTTAAGACATGCAGGAGAAGCAGGAGACATTGGAAAGAGTTGGGCTGTGGGCTTTGGCCCTGGTCATGGAGGGCTTTCCTGATGCTCTCCTGGAGATGTTTGGCAGCAGCATGGTGGGGAGAAGAGGTGATGAGAGGACAGGCTTTAGGAACAAAGCCTTGTCGGAGCTTTGTCAAGAAGGTTGTGGCTCTGCAGAAGGGTAGAGATCAGGGGTCAGTCAACAGGGGTAGGGGTCCCAGAGGGTGGGTGGCCCAGTGTGGAAGGAGATGGTAAGCTGTTGGGCCTGACACACTGGAGGGACAGGCCACAGGGGCCAGGACTATAGTTGTCAACTTGGAAGCCAGTCCCAGCCTGGACCTGGAGTTTGTTAGATGGTGGACATATTTCTTGATGCCTTCCCTCACCTCCTCCCTGAAGTAGATGGGGGTGAGGGGCCAAGCCCGGGGTGGCATGGGCCCACCACTCAGAGTATCCTCCTAGCTTAGGCCCAGTGTCACTGTCCCTCCCCCACCAGACAGGGATGTACATCGGTTGGTGTTCCCTGCTGTTGGGCCTCAGCATGCAGGTGTCTACAAAAGTGTCATCGCCAATAAGCTTGGCAAAGCTGCCTGCTATGCCCACCTATATGTCACAGGTAAGACAGGCACCTTTCCGGTGAGCTGTGCCCACAGCCTGGCCTCTGCTTCAACCCAAGGGCTGTGGGAGGAGGGACTCCACACCAGCTCCTTTTCCCCTTGCTCCCCTGGGAGCTCTCCAGCCTTGTCCCTACCCCTGTGACCGAGCCCCTGGACCCCTGCCTGCTGCCCTGAGGCTTGGTGATCCTGCAGAGCTTCTAGGCCCTAAAAGATCCAGTAGGCATCTGATGTGTGGCTTTCAGATGTGGTTCCAGGCCCCCCAGATGGTGCCCCACAGGTGGTGGCTGTGACTGGGAAGATGGTCACGCTCACATGGAACCCGCCCCGAAATCTGGACATGGCCATAGGTGGGTCAGGGCCACACAGGGTTGTGGGTGGGGTGTGGACAGGGCAGGCTCGCCAGGGCACAAAGGGAGCCAGGTCCCCGAAGCACACAGGCAGGGGCAGGAACAGATGGAGTGCTGGGAGTGTGGCCAGGAGCAGCTTTGCCTGTCTTTCCTCCAGGGTGGATGAGGCCCTGGCTCTGGGTCAGGAGAGAAGCCATGGGGCACCACTGCATTCCCTTCCCTTTCTTGGAGGGACTAGATGCCTGGGTCATGATCCTGGAGATACCCCTTCCTCCCTTTGTCCAGGATCTCATCCCACTGTGCCTCAGTTTCCCTAACCTCAGGTAGCAAGGACTTGGAAAGCAAGCCCAGCCCCTCCGATGCCTTGTTGACTCTAAACCTGGCTAGCACAGCAGTAGTTAGCCAGGATCAGATCGGGGGGAGCAGGTAGCAGCTGGAGAAACCGAAGCACATCTCAGAGCAGACTAATAATGAGTTCCAGGGTCCCGAGCCAGCTAGATGGGGAGAGTGGGTGCCGCCCAGGCAATGTCAGGCTCTAGCGGCTTCTCCCCTGCCAGACCCGGACTCCCTCACATACACGGTGCAGCACCAGGTGGTGGGCTCGGATCAGTGGACAGTGCTGGCCACAGGTCTGCGGGAGCCTGGCTGGGTGGCCACAGGATTACGGAAGGGACTCCAGCACATCTTCCGGGTCCTCACCACCACTGTCAAGAGCAGCAGCAAGCCCTCACCCCCCTCTGAATCTGTGCAGCTGCTAGAACATGGTGAGTCGGGTGCCCCTGTGGGGTAGGGTGGAGCTGCTGGGTCAGGGAGTAGAGACCTGTTGTGGGGCTCCAGGGCTGGCCATGGACACAGTGACTGGCTGAGCAGGCTGCAACTCTCTTTCCTGAGAGCAGCAAGGCTTTGGGATCAGATACACTGGGGTCCAACTGTAGCTTTGATGCTTTCCAGCTGTGTTTCCTGGACAGGTTGATAAACCTTTCTGAGCCTTAGCACCTCACCTTTAAAAATGGAGCTCAAGTGGCAATTTGGGGAATTAAAGGGAAGGTGGGCACCAAAGGCCTGGCATTAGGCCCAACACGGAGCCTGTGTTCTTTTCCCAGGCCCAGCCCTAGAGGAGGCTCCTGTTGTGCTGGACAAACCGGATGTCGTGTATGTAGTGGAGGGACGGCCTGCCAGTGTCACTGTCACCTTCAACCATGTGGAGGCCCAGGTTGTATGGAGGAGGTGGGTCCCCTGCTTGGTTCCCACAGGCAGCAATCCTATACTGGCCAGATTTCCCTGGGATAGATCCTGGATAACTTCCCTATTGCGTGTCCCTTAGCTGTAGAGGGGCCCTCCTAGAGGCACGGGCAGGTGTGTACGAGCTGAGCCAGCCAGATGACGACCAGTACTGCCTTCGGATCTGCCGGGTGAGCCGCCGGGACATGGGGGCCCTCAGCTGCACTGCCCGAAACCGCCATGGCACACAGACCTGCTCGGTCAGACTGGAACTGGCAGGTGGGTGGCAACTGACCTCCTTATTCTTCTTCTGGGGCCCACAGCTCCTTCCTCACACCCCTGTGTACATGACCCACCTGCCACTACTGGGAATCCAATCCCATATCTTTTTTCTCAAGCATGTCCCTCTAATGGCTATGATAATACAAGTACTAGTCTTAATGATAAGAATAATAATAGTGGGCAGCGCCTGTGGCTCAGTGAGTAGGGTGCCAGCCCCATATACTGAGGGTGGCAGGTTCAAACCTGGCCCCAGCCAAACTGCAACAAAAACATAGCCGGGTGTATGACAGGCGCCTGTAGTCCCAGCTACTCAGGAGGCTGAGGCAAGAGAGTCACCTAAGCCCAGGAGTTGGAGGTTGCTGTGAGCTGTGACAAGGGCAATAAAGTGAGACTCTGTCTCAATAATAATAATAATAATAGTATTATACTAATAAGATGTTTATTAAGTAGCTAGTATGTGCCAGGCTCAGTACTAAGCACTTTATATGCTATCACCTCATTTACTATTTACATCAACCTTACAAGATGGGGGTTGGTTTATTATCCCCATTTTACAGATGAGGAAATTGAGGCTCAGAATGTGCTAAGTAACTGGCCTAACCTAATTAGGTATAGAATTAACCTAATCAAGTATAGAATCCAGGGCAGCGCCTGTGGCTCAAAAGGGTAGGGCGCCAGCCCCATATGCCGAAGGTGGCGGGTTCAAACCCAGCCCTGGCCAAAAAAAAAAAAAAAAAAAGTATAGAATCTGGTTTCAAGTCTGGCTACCTGACTCCAAAGCCAGTGAGTGCTCCTAGCTCCTCTGTTAAACGCAACAGGAAATAGTATCTCAAAGACAAGGATAGGAAGACCAAGTTGATTTGGTTTTTCCAAAAAGAAAAACCCAGAATACATGTTGTCACCAGACTCCCATCTCTGAGGACGCCCTTGTACACAAGCCTGTTTGACAGAGCCTCTCAGCCTGTGCAACAAGGACACTTTTTATAATTTTTCCTTTAAAGATGCACTCTCTCACACCTTAGCATGGATTAGGTAGTACCTGTTTTGTTTTCCAGTCTGTTAATTAACTCTAAACATACATAACTGCCACTCAGAGCTTCTGATAAACATGAGCTAATAGTGTTGCTTGCTGACTGGTTATAATTCTAACCAAAAGCAAAAAAGTGACATTTTAGCTAGCACAATCTTATCATGGGCAAATGGACATTTTCTGGTGCTTTAAAAAAAAATCACTGACGCTGACTTGAAACCTTCTTGTGCTTTGACCTTCATAGGCTGCCCCTGCCACATCCTTGCTGAGTGGGGACCAGATTTCTAGGGGGAGGGGAGATATCTTTGAAGTGAAGAAGAATGGTAATAGGGTGTGTGAGAAAGAGGTGACCTCCTGGCCAGCTGTGAGGATGGTAGACGGAGAGGGTTCCCTGTATGTCTTCCCCCTTTCCTAGCCTCCGCTCCACACCCTCCTCAGTCACCACTTTGTTCCTACGATGCAAGCCTCATCCTTCTTCCTAGATAGAGGAGGAGCCCTGGGGTCTCAGGAGGCCCTGTCCCTAAGAATTCTGCAGCCCAGTCTGGCAGAGACAGTGGCTAATGGAGACTGTGTCCAGCCAGCCAGGACTGAAACAGGTCTGGGTTTATATTGAATAGTTCCATTCCACTAGGCCCCACTACCCACCACCCAGGCAGGGCAAGTAAAGTGACAGCTCTGTTTCCTCCACATTGACCCCACTGTAGTGTCACTCCCACTCTCAGTTGATCCCCTGTTGTCTGTGTGCCTGTGAAGGACACCAGTCTATACCAGTGGCCCTGCTTTACCCTGTATGCCTGGATCTCTCCTGTTCTCCTTAAAGCTGAGATTTTTAAGATGCTCAGGAGGTGGCTTGGTGCCTATAGCTCAGTGGTTAGGATACTGGCCACATGGACCAGGGCTGGTGGGTTCAAGCCTGGCCCAGGCCTGCTAAACAACAATGACGACTACAACAAAAAAATAGCCGGGCCTTGTGGCGGGCACCTGTAGTCCCATCTACTTGGGAGGCTGAGGCAAGAGAATAGCTTAAGCCCAAGAGTTTGATGTTGCTGTGAGTTGTAACACCATGGTACTCTACCAGGGCAACATAATGAAACTCTGTCTCAAAAAAATAAAAAATAAAAAGATGGTCAGGTGGGGGGTGGTGGTAGCTGGAAGTCACAGATTCCTTTGCAAAGCACATCATAAATGTATATTTAATTCCATCATGAGAATTAGAAGCCACTTTGCCAGGAAATCATATGATCATGTGATATGTGTGGAGAATGAAATCACAGCCACATGTGGGAGGATTAAGCTGAGAGTCAGTTTCTAGGCTGTTCAGTTAATATTTGGGGTTACTTTTTTGTTCATCTTGTCATCCCCAAGATGGTAGGAAGGTGCAATAAACATTTAAATAACACTCAGAGATAAAAACTTCAAGATAGAGGCAATGCCATCCATAAGCTTAATTCAGGATGGCAGACAGCCGCCTACAGGAGCCAGGTGCAGGTGAAGTCAAAGAAGCAGGCGAGGTGGTGCTGTGAAGAAAGGGCAGCCACCCACAGGTGGCAGCATTGAGCCACTCCTCCTCAGTGGATTCATGCAAAGAAGGGAGCGGCTTGCCATGGCAGGTCTGAGAGGCAGGAAATCCAGACTTCCTTTGTGTGTGAAAATCTCCTAATTTCAGAGCTGGCAAATGAACACTGAAGGTCAAACAAAGCAAGGCTGCAGCTTGTGCCAGGTTTCCTGAGATTTGGAGAACATCATGTTTGGGTTCACAGGGGGAGCGCTTAGTTCAAGCAAAAAACTCTGGTATTCCAAGGGTCTGAGTTTGGTACCCTGAAAGTAGGGAGTGATGGGGATGCGGGGAGGGCAGGTGGGGAGATCTGGCATTCTGACTGAGACAGTGGTAATGGGCCTTGGAGAGGGATGCCAGCTCCTGCTCCCTCCCTTCCTGTCCCTGTGTGCTTCATTTCAGAGGCCCCTCGGTTTGAGTCCATCATGGAGGATGTGGAGGTGGGAGCTGGGGAAACTGCTCGCTTTGCTGTGGTGGTTGAGGGGAAACCACTGCCAGACATCATGTGGTACAAGGTCAGAGCCCAGGGCTGGCCAGGAGCCTGTGGGGTGAGAGGTCAGAGAGGGGGAACCTGGGTAGAGGTGTGGTTAGGAGGAGGAGATGGGACTCAGGAGCCTCGCAGGCTGAGGGGTGCAGGGCTGTCAATGCAAAAGCTGCTACCCTGAGGTAGAGGTGAAACTGGGTCTCTGGCATGGAGGTAAAGTTGGGTCACAGGTGGAGGTGAGGCTTGGGCTGGAGATGACAGCCAACTTTGCAGGACGAGGTGCTGCTGGCCGAGAGCAACCATGTGAGCTTCGTGTATGAGGAGAATGAGTGCTCCCTGGTGATACTCAGCACAGGGACCCAGGATGGAGGTGTTTACACCTGCACAGCCCGGAACCTGGCAGGCGAGGTCTCCTGCAAAGCAGAGCTGGCTGTGCATTCAGGTGGGCTACAGTCCAAGGATAGAAGGGCAGAAGGCCCACCCACAGGAATCCGGTGTGAGCCTCACCCTGCCCAGGAAGCTCTCAGGCCTGGACTCCTGACCACTGATCACTGCACCCTCCAGCCCAGCACCCCCACCTTAGGCCCCAACAGTCTTGCCCTCGTCTGTCTCTGTCATCCACCTGCCTGTCCCAGTCTCTGCCCTGCTCCCTTTCTCATCCTCCCCACCTAACACCAGGACATCTCTGCCCCAGCTCAGACAGCTATGGAGGTTGAGGGGGCCGGGGAGGATGAGGAGCATCGAGGAAGGCGACTCAGTGACTTCTATGACATCCACCAGGAAATTGGCAGGTGCGGGGCTAGGAGGGGAGCTGGAATCAAGGTTTAAAAAAAGCACCTATGTCTGAAGGCTAAGCCCTGTCTCTCTGTGTCACCCAGGGGTGCTTTCTCCTACCTGCGGCGTGTGGTAGAACGCAGCTCTGGTCTGGAATTTGCAGCCAAGTTCATCCCCAGCCAGGCCAAGCCAAAAGCATCAGCACGGCGGGAAGCCCGGCTATTAGCCCGGCTTCAGCATGACTGCATCCTCTACTTCCATGAGGCCTTTGAGAGGCGCCGGGGACTAGTCATTGTCACTGAGCTGTATCCTGGAACAAGCTGGGGGCTAGGGGTACCCATGCCTAAATGATTGGGTCTTGTAACAGCCAATTGACAACATGTTTTACAGTTAACAAAGTGGTCCCATTAACAATTGGGAGGAATAAGTCTGGAGACTTTTGAGAAGAAGTCTGTTTTTAGCCTTTTTTTTTTTTTGTAGGTGAAACTTACATAACATTTAATGTGTGCCTGACAGTATTCTAAGAGTTTAACAAATATTAACCTATTTAATCCTCATATATAAGGACATAGACCTACCTCATGGAATTTTATTAGCCTCATCTTACACATGATAAAACAGGCACTGAGAGGTTAAATAACTTGCCTGAGGTCACAGAGCTGACAAATGGCATATGCTGTTTAATCACAAAATTCAGTACAGTATTGGAATCGACCACATTTCAGATGAGCACCAATACCTAGCTTTGTATGGGAGGCTGTTTTTGTAAAGAACAGATTTTATCCTTTCACAAAGCTGGGGTTAAACAAAGACACACTGAGGTAAGGATGCCTCACTGGGTGGTTGGCTTGTCACTCTCAGGAGCAGAGCACATCAGCCTCCCAGTCTCCACTGATTGAATCAAAACCTCAGCAAAATGACAAATTATTCCATGTCATGTAACTTTGGGGTCATTCTCAAGAAGTTCCATCTATAGTCAACAAAAAAATCTTCTCTAATTTGATCCCTATAAATACGTCTTAGGGTAAGCAGGAGAGGAAATGTTACCCCATCCTACTCCGGAGAGAACCTAGGCTCAGCGAGGTTAAGTACATTCCCTGCGATCCCACAGTGAGTGTGCATTCAAACAGGGTTTGTCCCATCATCTCTAGACCCAGATGATGGAGGAAGGGTAAAGACATAGCATCTGACTGGTATCAGAAGTGCTGTAAGGGGAAGGGGAAACCTGTTCTGAGATGGGACCTGCCTTGAGCTCTGGGGTGGGCCAGACTGTCAGTGCTGGGCACTGTTCTCCTTGATCTCAGATGTAGCTGCACAGAGGAGCTGCTGGAAAGAATGGCCAGGAAACCCACCGTGTGTGAGTCTGAGGTGAGGGCAGTGGGTGGCAGGGACAAGGTTGGGCACTAGCCTTCCCCACCTGAACTCTGAGTACTGACAGATAGGTCCTGGGCATGCTAACTGTGGCTACAAAGAACTGGGTGGGGTGGTAGTGAGAACCCCACTCAGTTAGGCAGGCAGCAGAGCCCCCTGCTCACAACACTTGCACTGTCTGCTCTAAATCTCAGCAAACCCACCCCAGCCTCTGTTGTTTTTCTCATGTAAACATCCCCAAACATTTCTCCCAGAAGAAGCCTCCCCCTGTAGATTCTATTGATCTCACTGCAGTATTGCCATGTAGAGCTGTACACGTTGTGCACTGCACAAGTCTACGTATTACAATGCATATGATTCCTCCCTACATTTGTGCTATCCCTATCCTGTGCACACAGTAGCCCTGGATCTTGGCAACCCATGCTTTACCTCCCTTCATGAGCCATCTGAAAGCAATTCCCAGGGATGGTCTGAACTCTTGCCATAACACTGGTGGTGATCAAACAGTACCCCACCCCTCCCCACGGACTCTGTGCCCCCTATTTCCACAGATCCGAGTCTACATGCAGCAGGTACTAGAGGGAGTACGCTACCTGCACCAGAGCCATGTGCTGCACCTCGATGTCAAGGTGAGGTGGGGGGTGGAGAGTAGGCAGCCGTGTGGGAGCCAGCAAGTGGGGTGTCCTCCTGTCTTCTTTCAGCTCCCACACTTTGTTTTGTGTCTTTCAGCCTGAGAACCTGCTGGTATGGGACGGTGCAGGGGGTGAAGAGCAGGTGCGGATCTGCGACTTTGGGAATGCCCAGGAGCTGACTCCAGGAGAGCCTCAATACTGCCAATATGGCACACCTGAGTTTGTGGCACCCGAGATTGTCAACCAGAGCCCTGTGTCTGGAGTCACTGACATCTGGTAAGTGCTGACATGCTGCGGGGATGGGGGGTGGGGGTAGGGCAACTGCCCTCACTGCCATGCTGGGGACTTGCTCACTGATAGAGAGGAGCTTTATTAAGTCTTGGTTCCTTCTCTGATGGCTGGCTGGTGGCATTGCTTGCAGGGTTTCCTGCCCCTGTTATTCTCCACCACTCATCAGTCAAGGCCAATCCCATCCCTCAGGGCCTCAGCCCTGTCAGTCCTTTGCCCACAGCTCCCTGGGGGCCTGGGCCTTCCCCTCAGCAGCCACTGTGCCTTCCTCAGTGTGGCAGGCCTGGTCCCCAGACTTCTCTGGGCTTCCTAGGCCAGACCTGCCTCCACACTTGTCTGGAAGTCTGGGTTTAGGGTCCTCCCTGTGAGGCACCTCCAGTGCCTATTTGTCCATAGCAGTGTTCCCAGGAGGACCTACCTCACTTAGCTTAATGGTGGCAGAGAATTGTTGCCTCTGGGGCAAGATGGACAGCCTCTTACCTGTCCACTCTCCTTTTCCCACAGGCCCGTAGGTGTCGTTGCCTTCCTCTGGTAAGGACTCCTACAGTCTTCTCATTATCTCCTGGCAGACCTACCCCTAACATTTTCAAGGCTTCAGCCCAACCCCTTCTCTTCCATGCCCCTACTCCTTCCTACACTGCAAGGGGCCTCATGTGCATGAAGGTGGATGCCCTGGTTTGCACGCCCACCATGCCCCGCCAAAAGAGGTGGGCATACAGGATGAAAAGAGAGGACAGCACAGGCTCAGTGCTGAGGCAGGAAACTACCTGGCCCTGAGTGTCCAGAACATGGATTAGAAGGGGGCAGCACTCAGGCTTAGGATGGGACATTCCCTTGGCACAGACTCCTTGCCTTATGAAGAGACCATACTGAAGGAGGGACAGAACAGGTCCTCTAAAGCACAGGCAAACAGGTCCTGAGGCAGTACTGCCCCACTGCTCATGCAGGACAGGCAAAGTCTGCAAGCCTTGGCTTCTTGCCCAGATTCACCCAGGCTCTGCTGTCTCTATAGCCCTGGAGCCTCCCCTTGGCCCCCTGCTCCCACTGGCATCCCATTTCATCCCTGTGTCAGCCCCAAGGGCCTGCCTGCCCCTTAAAGCAGCCCTCTCCACCTACAGTCTGACGGGAATCTCCCCATTTGTTGGGGAAAACGATCGGACAACATTGATGAACATCCGAAACTATAACGTGGCCTTTGAGGAGACCACATTCCTGAGTCTGAGCAGGGAGGCTCGGGGCTTCCTCATCAAAGTGCTGGTGCAGGACCGGCTGTGAGTACTAGGCCCTGGGGAGTCCTGCACCTGCAGGATAACCCTCATGCCACCCACCTATTCATACCAAGCCTTTGCCCTTAGACATGCAAGCTCATACTCCTTAGAGGCCCTGTTTTCTCACACATTGAATGAATGAATGATACAAATTCCATCTTAATACTCATTCTTTTACAGGAGACCTACTGCAGAGGAGACCCTAGAACATCCTTGGTTCAGAGTGAGTCCTGTAAAGTGGTGAAACAAAAGGTAGAAGGAGAGAGAATGTTACTAAGAGCTCCATTTATTGAATACTTACTATGTGCAGTAACTAATGCCGAATGTTAGGTGCTATATACATACACACACACACACACACACATATATATATATACACCTCACAATAGCTCTGCAAGGAAAGGTATTATTACTCCCATTTGGTTGGTAAGGAAACTGAGGCTCAAATCAGTGATCAAGCTGAGATATCATGGACTCCAAGGCAGAGGTCTAGATGGCTCTATCTTGGTGGTCCTTATCAGGGTTCACTTGTATGTGCCCACCTCTGTCCTGTATGGGTCCCACACTGGGGTTGGCAGGTTACCTAGCTGACTCAGCCCCTCAATTTCATGTGGGCAGGGTTCATCTTCAAACTCCAGTGCCTCAGGGCACAGTGCATAGGGGTGGGGAGTTCAGCAAATGGGTCCAGAAAGAGCACTAAATAAGCTGTCCATTGAAGGCTGTGGTGGGTCAACTAAAAGCTGAGGTTAGTCCTTGAAATAAGAGGCTTCCTTTCTCAGACCAGAAAGGAGCTCCAGAAGAGAGAGCCTGGAAGGGTGGCAGAGGGCAGCATTGTATGGGTCTGGACCACCAAGGCTTCAGGCATTGGGGTGCTGGCCTACATGGAGACATATGGGATCTGGGGAGCCAGGGCCCAGGTCACCCAGGGAAGTTGGTATATTAGGGTAGGGCCTCATGGGGAACTTCATGGGAGCCACCAGTTTTTGCCTCTCCTCTTAGGCTCAGAGAACTTGGATACAGATGTGTACCTTGGCTGTGGGCGTTGTCCTGAAAAACCCAAGGGGAAAGGGACCCCAAGAGCCCAGACTCAGTGCTGCTGGGTCCACTGTCTCTGCTGTGGACTTTGTCACTTCATTGTTAAACCTTGAGGGTCTAGGTTAACAGAGCTTTTTCTCAGGCCCTCTTTCCTGGTTTTGCAGACTCAGGCAAAGGGTGCAGAGGTGAGCACAGATCACCTAAAGCTATTCCTCTCCCGGCGGAAGTGGCAGGTGAGTTTGGGTACTGCCTCTGTCCTGTCCACCTTCCTTATTTTTTTGCAGTTTTTGGCCGGCGCTGGGTTTGAACCCACCACATATGAAACCACCAGCATATGGGGCCAGCGCCCTTTTTAATTTTTCCTATCTGCCCTCACCTCCTGCTTGTCTGTCTTCTTGCTTCCTTCCTGTCTCGGATTCTCTGCCTGCTTAGGCCTTCTTCCCCAGAGCTGAAGGGGGCCTGGGATGGCCAATCCTGTCCTGGGGGTCTCTCAGGTCTGACCCTAGTCCTTTCTCTCCAGCGCTCCCAGATCAGCTACAAGTGCCACCTGGTGCTGCGCCCCATCCCGGAACTGCTGCGGGCCCCTCCAGAGCGGGTGTGGGTGGCCATGCCCCGAAGACCAACCCCCAGCGGGGGGCTCTCATCCTCCTCCGATTCTGAAGAGGAAGAGCTTGAAGAGCTGCCCTCAGTGCCTCGACCCCTGCAGCCTGAATTCTCTGGCTCCCGGGTGTCCCTCACAGACATTCCCACTGAGGATGAGGCCCTGGGGACCCTAGAGGCTGGGGCTTCCACCCCCATGGACTGGCAAGAACAGGGAAGGGCTCCATCTCAGGATCAGGAGGCTCCCAGCCCTCAGGCCCTCTCCTCCCCAGGCCAAGAGCACCTAGCTGGGCCTAGCCCCAGGCGGGGAGAGCTCCGCAGGGGCAGCTCAGCTGAGAGCGCCCTGCCCCGGGCCGGGCCGCGGGAACCGGGCCGGGGCCTGCACAAGGCTGCCTCTGTGGAGCTGCCGCAGCGCCGGAGCCCCAGCCCGGGGGCCACCCGCCTGGCCCGGGGAGGCCTGGGTGAGGGCGAGTACGCCCAGAGGCTGCAGGCCCTGCGCCAGCGGCTGCTGCGGGGAAGCCCTGAGGATGGCAAGGTCAGCGGCCTCAGGGGTCCCCTGCTGGAGAGCCTGGGAGGCCGTGCCCGGGATCCTCGGATGGCACGGGCTGCCTCCAGCGAGGCAGCACCCCACCACCAGCCCCCACCCGAGACTCGAGGCCTGCAAAAGAGCAGCAGTTTCTCGCAGGGTGAGGCGGAGCCCCGGGGACGGCACCGCCGCGCTGGGGCACCCCTTGAGATCCCAGTAGCCAGGCTTGGGGCCCGCAGGCTGCAGGAGTCTCCCTCTCTATCTGCCCTCAGCGAGGCCCAGCCATCCAGCCCTGCGCGGCCCAACGTCCCCAAACCCAGTGCCCCTAAGTCTGCAGAACCTTCCGCCACCCCCCCAAGTGATGCTCCGCATACCTCGGCAACCCAACCTGCCCAAGACAAGGCGCCAGAGCCCACGCCAGAGCCAGTCCGAGCCTCCAAGCCCGCAAAGTCCCCCGTGGTCCTGCAAACCCCAACGCTGCCCCTTACGCCCTATGCTCAGATCATACAGTCGCTTCAGCTGTCGGGCCACGCCCAGGGCGTCCCTCAGAGCCCTCTTGCGCCTCCGCCTCCGTCAGAGCCCAAGCCCCACGCCGCCGTGTTTGCCAGGGTGGCCTCTCCTCCTCCCGGAGCCCCTGAGAAACGCTTGCCCTCAGCCGCAGCTCCCCCAGTGCCAGTCGAGAAAGCCCGGGTCCCCACGGTGCCCCCACGTCCAGGCAGTAGCCTCAGCAGCAGCATTGAGAACCTGGAATCTGAGGCTGTGTTTGAGGCTAAGTTCAAGCGCAGCCGTGAGTCGCCCCTGTCGCGGGGGCTGCGGCTGCTGAGCCGCTCGCGCTCCGAGGAGCGCGGCCCCTTCCGCGGGGCCTCAGAGGAGAACGGCATGTACCGGCCCAGCCCGGCGGGAACCCCGCTGGAGCTGGTGCGACGGCCCGAGCGCTCACGCTCCGTGCAGGACCTCAGGGCTGTCGGGGAGCCCGGCCTCGTCCGCCGCCTCTCTCTGTCGCTGTCGCAGCGGCTACGGAGGACCCCGCCCGCGCAGCGGCACCCGGCCTGGGAGGCCCGCGGCGGGGATGGGGAGAGCTCGGAGGGCGGGAGCTCGGCGCGGGGGTCCCCGGTGCTGACCGTGCGTAGGAGGCTCAGCTCCACGCTGGAGCGGCTGTCGAGCCGGTTGCAGCGCAGCGGCAGCAGCGAGGATTCTGGCGGCACGTCGGGTCGCAGCACGCCCCTGTTCGGACGGCTGCGCAGGGCCACGTCGGAAGGCGAGAGTCTGAGGCGCCTCGGCATCCCGCACAACCAGCTGGCCGCCCAGCCCGGTGCCACCACGCCTTCTGCTGAGTCTCTTGGCTCCGAAGCCAGTGCCACTTCTGGCTCTTCAGGTGAGGAGGGGCAGAAGTAGGTAGGGGGCAAGCAAGCGCAGAGTGCGGAAGAGGATGGGGTACCCTGGAGAGAGACTGCGGGAGGAGCTGAGGGTTGGGGGACATCACCAGAGAGAGGTGGGGGAGGTGCTGGAGGCCCTGATGGAAGAGAAGGGCTGGAGGGCAGGGAGGGGCTAGATGCTCCTTTACCTATGCCTGGCCTGAGGTTGCAGAGCGAGTGGTGGGAGCTTTCTGGATGGGAGCTCTGGGGGTGGTGGTGGTGAGTTCTCACCTGCCTGGGCTTCACAGGGGCAGGGGAAAGCCGAAGCCGGCTCCGCTGGGGCCTCTCTCGGCTGCGGAAGGACAAGGGGTTATCACAACCAAACCTCTCCGCCAGCATACAGGAGGACTTGGGTCACCAGTATGTGCGCAGTGAGTCAGGTAATAAGAGGCCTGCTAGGTGAGTACCTCCCCTTCGCCTGCCCCCACTTCTGTGCAGACCATCCATGGGTGGGAACTGAGCCACCCACCAGGAGGAGCCTGGACAGGGTGGAAGGGGCGCAGTAAGGTAAGCAATAATAGTAGGATAATAGGTAGTAATAGCAGCAGCTGCCATTCATCAGCAAAGCCTAGTGTTCTAGGAAGCACTTTATAAGCCCGCCTCATTCAACATTGTTTGGGAACCATTATCATCATCTCTATTTTACAGGTAAGGAAGCAGGCTTAGTGATGCTAAGGATCTTGTCCAAGTCTCAGGGTTAGGAAGTGGAGGAATCAGAAGTGGTCTGTGTTGACCTTCTGCAGCCAGGTCCCACAAGCAGCTTTGGGACACCATCCTTATCCTTTCTGTGGTTGGCCTCCCCTCTCCTGGGAGACCCTGGAAGGTGTCTGTAACTGGTTGCAGTTTTGAAGGCTCTAGGGATAGTGCTTCCCTGCTCCACAGCCTGCTTCAGATGAGTGTGTAACTCAAAACCACTCATTTTCTCTCCCAATCTAGAGGACCACTATCTGAGTTGTGCCACCAAGTCTCCATCTTTCTACAGCTCTGAACACAAAACTACCCCTCTCTGACTCCCTTGCCCCCACAAAAGGCACCTCTGTGCGGAAGAGCCCTGAAGGACTCTTCCCTGGGGGGAAGAGGGCTGGGACTGTGCCCTCTTCTGTTTCTCTGCCCAAATGCCCTAGGGCTGCAGGAAGGGAGGAGGCATTCTTCACCCAGGTCACCCATCTCCCACCTGAAAAGGGGCATTACTCGGGGACTACATGAAACGCTTTGGGAGGCTGGTCTCTCTAGTCCACCAAGCCAACTGTGTGCAACATCTCTCTGTCTTTTTTCTTTTCTTTTCTTTTCTTTTTTTTGAGACAGTCTCACTCTGTGCCCTTGGTAGAGTGCCAGGGCATCATAGCTCATAGCACCTCAAACTCTTGGGCTTGAGCATTCCTCTTGCCTCAGCTTCCCAAGTAGCTGGAACTACAGGCGCCTGCCACAACGACTGGAACACCTGGCTAGTTTTTCTTTTCTTTCTTTCTTTCTTTTTTTTTTTTTTTGCAGTTTTTGGCTGGGGCTAGATTTGAACCCACCACCTCAGTATAGGGGGCTGGCGCCCTACTCCTTTGAGCCACAGGCACCGCCCATAGTTTTTCTATTTTCAGTAGAGATGGGGTCTCGCTCTGGCTCAGGCTGGTCTGGAATTCCTAGGCTCAGGCAATCTACTTGCCCCTCCTTCCCAGAGTGCTAGGATTACAAGTGTGAGCCACCATGCTTGGCCTGTGTGCAGGATCTTTATAAGCCACCAGTTCTGCTCTTACCCATTTCCTGGTAAAACTCCTCAGAATGGTTTCAGCCTTCCTTCAACTGGGCTTGAAGGGATTGTGTCTGGCCTTAGCCAGGGCAGTGGGTGCTACAGTGAAGAAGAGGGAGGAAAGGCCAGCTGGTGGGGGAGGGTAGAAAAGGAGAGGAAAGGAGATCAGTCAGCAGAGAGGACTGGGGACAGCTGATCCCTTCCCACCTGGGGCTTTCCTCCCACTCAGTTTTGCTTGTGCAGCTGATTTCCTGCCCAGGCAGTGTCCCTTGACCTCATCCTCTCTGCTCTACACAGGAGGAAGGCTGTCCCAGTCCATGCTATCAGCTAGGGCTGGGCCTTGGGGAATGGGGTGGGGCTGGCAGAGCTGGGCCCAGGTCACCTTTCACCTCTCCTCTGGGCCTCCCTTTCTCTCCCTGCTATCCAGTATCCTCACTTGGCCTAGAAGCAATCACTGAAACTTCACAATGTTGTTGGAGCTTCATTGTAGGACCTTTCCTTGGGGAACAATGGGATTCAGTGGAAAGAGGGGGACATACTGCTGTCTAGATCATCCTCTCCTGTCCAGCTCATCCCCATTCTCAGTCCCTCTTGGCTCTTCAGGCAGGCAACATCTGGGGCTCCCAGAAGTTCTGAATTCTCTCTGCCCAGGTGAAATCCCCTTCACATCACTACCCAAGTCTCCTCCTCTTTGTCTAGACTGCGATTTTTCTAAGGGGGTATTTCCTGGGATCACAAACTCAAATCTTCAGGTCACTAAGGAGCCACAGGGTAGCTACACTGGAGCAAAGACCCTGATCTCATTCCTGCACCTGTCATGGGCACAGTCACCAACCAGCTGTGAAGGCAGCTTCTCTGCTGAAATAGCCTTTTTCTCTGGGGGTCTGCTCCTGGCTTCTCTATGGGGCATATTAAGGAGACAATAAGGACAACAAAGCTAATATTTACAAGTACTTGCTGTGTGCAAGACATGTTCTAAGCACTTTACAGGCCTCTTCATTCTCACCGCAATCCTCTGAGCTTGGTATTATTTTCCTCAATTTACAGATAAGATTTTTTTTTTTTTTTTTTTTTTTTTTTAGAAATGGGGTCTTACTCTTGTTGAGGCTGGTCTTGAATCTGTGAGCACAGGCAATCCACCCACCTTGACCTCCCAGAGTGCTAGGATTATAGCTGAGAGCCACCTCCCCTTCTGAAGGGATAAATGACCCGTCCAAGGTCAAACAAATACTGTCACTTACCACTTCAAAACCTCTGACAACTTAGTTGGCCTGAAGAAGTATGTAGAATGCCTAAGACTCTGTCCCCAGAATTATAGGTGAGAAGAGGGGGAAGGAGGCTGACACACTTCCAGGTCTGCCCCTGGTTTCCTAGATGTCAGATTTCTTGAGACTGCAGTGTTGTTTTTTTTTTTTTGGAGACAGAGTCTCAAGCTGTCATCCTGGGTAGAGTGCCATGGCATCACAGCTCACAGCAACCTCAAACTCTTGGGCTTAAGTATTTCTCTTGCCTCAGCCCCCTAAGCAGCTGGGACTATAGGTGCCTGCCACAATGCCCAACTATTTTTTTGTTGCAATTGTCATTGTTTTAGCTGGCCCGGGCCAGGTTCGAACTGTCAGCCTCAGTGTATGTGGCTGGCAACCTACCCACTGAGCTATGGGCACCACCTGAGACTGCACATTCTTGAACATTCTACATTCAGTCCCATTTCGGCTCAGGTCACTAACTCATCTCACTTGCCCTACGGTGCCCCTGAGGGAGTGGGTGTTATAGGATCTCAAAGATTATCATTTTTCAATATTTGTTTACTTTTATTTATTCTTATTTTGTATTTTATTTGAGACAGGATCTTGCTTTCTTGACTGGGCTAGAGTGCAGTGGCATCATCATAGCTCACTAATGCCTCAAACTCATGGTTTCAAGTGATCCTCTTGCCTCAGCCTCCCAAGTAGCTGGGACAACAGTCTTGCAGCACTATACCCAGCTAATTCTTTTAAATTTTGTAAAGACAGGGTCTTGCTGTGTTGCTGTGGTTCATCTTGAACTCCTGGCCTCAACTGGTCCTCCCACCTCAGCCTCCCGAAGTGCTAGGATTAGAGGCATGAGCTACCATGCGTAGCCTATTTGTTTTACTTAACAAATGCTTAGAGAGTACTTAGTGCCAGGCTTGCTCTGCTCTAAGTGATTTACAAACATACCAGATAGGGAGCATCATTAATAGTTAGTGCCAGGAAAGGTAGTTCTACACACAGTGAGGGCCTAGGGAAAGTGATGCTCGCCCCAAAGAAAATTTTCAAAGGCATAGCGGGGGTTCTATTTCCCACATCTGGCTGGGAAGAGACAACCTTTTACTCAGCTTGCTGCCAGCTATCAGAGCTCAAATACATCCTCCCCTCCCTCAGCGATAAGTGGGCCAGGGTCCCTGCAGACAGACGGCTGTCTCTGCTCTCCCTCCAGACTTCCCCCCAGTCTTCCACATCAAACTCAAGGACCAGGTGCTGCTAGAGGGGGAGGCAGCCACTCTGCTTTGCCTGCCGGCGGCCTGCCCTGCACCACACATCTCCTGGATGAAAGGTAAGGAGATTATGTCTCTCATGGAGGTGGCAAGTGTCCCCAAGACCAGGGGATGGGAGAAGCTAGGCCTTGCAGCAAGCAAGGTTAGGGATGCTGGGGCAGGGAGCTGGCGAGGGCAGCCTGGACATGTGCTGCCCCACTCAGCAGCTGCTCTTCCTTGCTCCCAGACAAGCAGTGCCTGCGGTCAGAACCCTCAGTGATCATCGTGTCCTGCAAAGATGGGCGGCAGCTGCTGAGTATCCCTCGGGCGGGCAAGCGTCATGCCGGGCTCTATGAATGTTCAGCCACCAATGTCCTAGGCAGCGTCATCAGCTCCTGTACCGTGGCTGTGGCCCGTGAGCCTGTGGCAGGGCCCAAGGGGGTAGTGATGGTGATGGGGGACAGGGTTTGAGGGGCTCTTAATTGGAGCATAGGAGCTCACTGCAACTCCCCTTCTCTTTCCAGGAGTCCCAGGAAAGCTAGCTCCTCCTGAGGTGCCCCAGACCTACCAGGACACAGCACTGGTGCTGTGGAAGCCAGGAGACAGCCGGGCACCTTGCACATATACACTGGAGCGGCGGGTGGATGGTGAGGGGCAGGGCAGATGGAAGTGGGAGGGTGGCAGGTGGAAGGTAGAAGAGCCTGGGAAGGCAAGTGCCCTCCCTGGACAGGGGAGACCTCAGCCTTTCACAGGTAGCTCTGGGAGCTTGGGTCTCTCCTTCTGTGGTCTCATCCCCTCCTCCATGTGCCCACAGGGGAGTCTGTCTGGCACCCTGTAAGCTCAGGCATCCCTGACTGCTACTATAATGTGACCCATCTGCCCGTTGGTGTGAATGTGAGGTTCCGTGTGGCCTGTGCCAACCGTGCTGGGCAGGGGCCCTTCAGCAACCCTTCAGAGAAGATCCTCATCAGGGGCACTCAAGGTCAGTGTGATAGGGGAGGACCCGGGAGAAGGAAGGGTATCCTGAGGCCAGGGTCCACTCCATCCTTGGAATACCACAGCTTTGCCCCAGGGCACCATGGTGGTCATGATTTTCTTTGTCTTTTAGATTCTTCAGCTCTGCCATCTGCTGCTCACCAAGAGACCCCTGTTACCTCAGGGCCAGCCAGGGCCCCACCTCCTGACTCTCCTACCTCACCAGCCCTGCCCCCAACAACTACTGCCCCAGCCTCCCTGTCAGTCACTCTCAGCCCCTCATCTCCCTCCATGCCCCCCAGCCAGGCCTTGTCCTCCCTCAAGGCTGTGGGTCCACCACCCCAAACCCCCCCACGAAAGCACAGGGGCCTGCAGGCTGCCCGGCAAGCAGAGCCCACCCCACCCAGTGTCCAGGTCACTCCAAATGAGCCCAAGTCTTTTGTCTCTGACACTGGGACCCCTACCCCAGTTTCCACCCCTCAAGGGGTTAAACCAGCACCTTCCTCTACTCCCCTGTATATGGTGACTTCCTTTGTGTCTGCACCACCGGCCCCTGAGCCCCCAGCCCCTGAGCCCCCTCCTGAGCCCACTAAGGTGACCGTGCAGAGCCTCAGCCCGGCCCAGGAGGTAGTCAGCTCCCCTGGGAGCAGTCCCCGCAGCTCTCCCAAGCCAGAGACAACTCTGCGACAAGGCCCCCCTCAGAAACCCTACACGTTCCTGGAGGAAAAGGCCAGGCAAGCAGGGCTGGGGAAGGGAACAAGAACAAAAGGAGGAATGGGGTGAACATAGGGGACCCAGAAGACCAAACTGTCCTGGCTGGGGTTGGGGAAGGTACTGAGATCTGGCTCCTCAGAACAGCTGGGTTCAAATATGCCAGGTACTATACTAAGAACTTTATTTATTTATTTTTTTTGAGACAGAGTCTCACTTTGTCACCCTCAGTAGAGTGCCATGGCTTCATAGCTCACAGCAACCTCAGACTCTTGGGCTCAAGCAATTCTCTTGCCTCAGCCTCCCAAGTAGCTGGGACTACAGGTGCCTGCCACAATGCCTGGTTATTTTTTGAGAGACAGGGTCTCGCTCTTGCTCAGGCTGGTCTCGAACTGCCAGCTCAGGCAATCCATCCACCTCAGCCTCCCACAGTGCTAGGATTACAGGTGTAAGCCATTGTGCCCCACCCTGTACCAAGTGCTTTAGCTATCTGATTTCATTTCATCTTCACAACTCTGAAAGGGAGTTATGCACTGAATTACTATGACTGCCCATCTCACAGATGGGAAAAGTGAGGTTTGAGAAGTGATAAGAGGCTTGGCGCCTGTGGCTCAAGTGGCTAAGGCGCCAGCCACATACACCTAAGGTGGCAGGTTTGAATCCAGCCTGGGCCCACCAGACAACAATGATGACTGCAACCAAAAAAAAAAAAAAATAGCCAGGTGTTGTGGTGGGCACCTGTAGTCCCAGCTACTTGGGAGGCGGAGGCAGGAGACTCGCTTGAGCCCAAGAGTTGGAGGTTGCTGTGAGCTGTGATGCCACAGCACTTTACCTAGGGGGATAAGCTTGAGGCTCTGTCTTAAAAAAGAAAGAAAAAGAGAAGTGATAGGAGTTGTCTAAGATATAGAGCCAGTGAGCAGCCAAGGTGGGACTCAAAGTCTGGTTCCTAGGATTGAAATCTTCAGGGCACACTGGAACTACTGCATTCTTGCCCCCTGCTTTAGCCCTCACTATGGAAGTGTCCCCCTCCTTTGTCTGAGCCTCTGGTGTCCCCCCAACACTCATAGGGGCCGCTTTGGTGTTGTGCGAGCATGCCGGGAGAATGCCACAGGGAGAACGTTTGTGGCCAAGATTGTGCCCTATGCGGCTGAGGGCAAGCGGCGAGTCTTGCAGGAATATGAGGTGCTGCGGACACTGCACCATGAGCGGCTCATGTCCCTGCATGAGGCCTACATCACCCCTCGATACCTAGTGCTCATTGCTGAGAGCTGCGGCAACCGGGAACTCCTCTGTGGGCTCAGTGACAGGTAGCTGGGTGTTCTGGGGAGTGGGGAGTGGGGGAGGCTCGTCTGGGAGATCACCTGCTCCATCCCTGCCCCTAGGTTCCGGTATTCAGAAGATGATGTGGTCACCTACATGGTACAGCTGCTACAAGGCCTGGACTACCTCCATGGCCGCCATGTGCTACACCTAGACATTAAGCCGGACAACCTGCTGCTGGCCCCTGACAATACCCTCAAGATTGTGGACTTTGGCAGTGCCCAGCCCTACAACCCTCAGGCCCTGAAGCCCCTTGGCCACCGCACGGGCACGCTGGAGTTCATGGGTGAGGGGACCAGCTGCTAGCCAGGGTGGTGGGTGCAGGTACTGCCAGAGGGACAACAGCCAAGGTTCACCCCATTTCATCCACATATGTGCCATTTATTGAGTGTTTACTATATGCAAGCAATGAACTAAGTCCCTTATGTGGACTTTTTTTCCAAATTGGGTTTTACAATAGCCCTGGAGTTTGGTATAACGTGACCCTCATTTTACGGATGAGGAAACAGAGGCACATTGAAGTTAAATATTTGTCCAATCAGGCAGTTATAAATGGTAGAGTCAGGATTTGCTAAATATGAAAAGACAGGAGAATAAATTATTATTTTATTTAAATAAGGAAAACCAGCTACTATTTAGCTACCTTCTAAATACTTGACCTATGTTATCTCTACTCCTCAGAGCATTCCACAAGTCACATTTTATAGATGAGACAATGGAGAACAGTGTTAATAAATCGCCCAGGGTCCCATACCTAGAAGAAGCAGACCTGGGATTAGGGCCAGCCAGGCTGATTTCAAAGGCTTTTTATCTTGGTGTCTGAGCCCTACTTTAGAGCTGACCTGATGGAGCTAGTAACTCTGGTTCTCAGCTCCTCTGGAATTCTGGGCACCCCCACCATTCAGTGTCTGGATTAATCCCTCAGTGTCCCACATCTCTTGTGGGGCTGCCACACCTGTGTCCTGCCTGCTGGCATTTGGGCCTGCTGCTCTGGTCTAAGATCCTGGCTTTATCCTGCTCCTCAAGCCCTCAGGGGCTCCCCTGCCTCACCCTACTCCCCTGATACCAGGAAGCTGGGTAAGCTTAGCCTCTGTTCTCCTGTCAGCTCCTGAGATGGTGAAGGGAGAACCCATTGGCTCTACCACAGACATCTGGGGAGTGGGTGTGCTCGCCTACATCATGTGAGTACCCCAGCCCCACCATCCCCTCTGCCCACACTGTGACCTCTGAGAACACCTTCTGCCTGTGCCCTCTCCCCCGCACACCACCTTGCCAGCACACACATGCACTCACACACACACCCAGGTGAGGATGGCATTGTCTTTGAGCACTGTGTACCTCAGAACCCCAGCACTAATATCCCCCAGGCTTGGGGATAGACCTTCAGTCCACATGTGTCAACCATACTGTCTTCCACAACAGGCTCAGTGGATGCTCCCCATTCTATGAGCCAGACCCCCAGGAAACAGAGGCTCGGATAGTGGGGGGGCGCTTTGATGCCTTCCAGCTATACCCCAATACATCCCAGAGTGCCACCCTCTTCTTGCGAAAGGTCCTCTCAGTACATCCCTGGTGAGTGAGCACCATCCCTGGCCACCCCCAGCACTTCCTGCCCCTGGCCTCAGACTGCTCAGGCCCAGCTCTGCCAGACTGCTCTCTGCCCCTGATAATATATTGCTTCAGCTACTTCTACTAAATGGCAATACTGGCTTGGCGTCTGTGGCTCAAGCAGCTAAGGTGCCAGCCACATACACCTGAGCTGGCGGGTTCAAATCCAGCCTGGGCCCACCAAACAACAATGACGGCTGCAACCAAAAAATAGCTGGGTATTGTGGCAGACGCCTGAATCCCAGCTACTAGGGAGGCGGAGGCAGGAGAGTCACTTGAGCCTAGGAGTTGGAGGTTGCTGTGAGCTGTGATGCCAAGGCACTCTACTCAAGGTGACAGCTTGAGGCTCTGTCTCAAAAAAAAAAAAAAATGGCCATACTACCTGCTGCTTAAAACCTGTAATGGCCCTATAAGAGGCAGAATCACTGTCCCCTTTCCAGAGATTGGAAAGCTGAGCCCCAGTTGCCCAAAATCACACATGTAGGTGTGGATCCAGGATTGGGATTTGGGTCTGGGGGAGGACAGAGCCCTGCCCACACCAGGAGCCACCACGCTGGTCTCATGATCCCTGACCTGGCCTGGCAGGAGCCGGCCCTCCCTGCAGGACTGCTTGGCCCACCCCTGGCTGCAGGACGCCTACCTGATGAAGCTGCGCCGCCAGACTCTCACCTTCACCACCAACAGGCTCAAGGAGTTCCTGAGTGAGCAGCGGCGGCGCCGTGCTGAGGCTGCCACCCGCCACAAGGTTCTGCTGCGCTCCTACCCTGGCGGCCTCTAGTGGCATGGACCATAGCCCAGTCTTGGGCTTTGACTGGGGGTTCCCACCCAACAATGCAGCAGGACATTCCAGAGCCCACGCTGAGCGGGGTGGGCCTGGGGGCTTCAGATACCACCAGCAGCAACATCTGGCCAGGCTCTTACCTCATGGATCTGCGGGGACAGAGGCCTTGGGGCTTTGGCCTGATGCCACCCCAGGCCAGAGGCAGAAGTAGAGACCAGCTGGCCAGGCTGGGCAGGGGTGGGAACAGGCAGAGGGGCAAGAAGGGAATAGGGAAATAAAGAGGAAATGAAGCCAAGGGAGAGGGAGGGGAGACTCTAGGAAGGTTCTGGAATAGGGGACAGTGCATCATGGGAGAGCAGGATGGGGACGTATGTGTGGCCGGCAAGGAGGAAGAAGAAGGAGCCCAAGGTGTCAGGGTGGAGGGCTGGGAGTGTTGGTGAAGCTGGGGCAGGTTACAGAGACAGTGCCATGGAGCCAGGCGGTGAGAGAGGGCAGTGAGGCATGGGAAGGAGAGGAGGTGGCCTCAGGTGAAGTGGGGCAGGCCAGCTGCTGGCATCCCCGGGAGGAGCAGAGTGGACAGCTGGAACAGCAAGTGGTGACTCAAGCTGGATCCTCCATCCAGTGGATGCAGCTCTGGGCACTCCATGCTGGCATGATGTCCCCACCACCCCTCCATGGCCTTTGCCCTTCTTCCGATGGCTATTTATTTATTTATTGACTTTTATGAAGTTTTCCCTTCCTTTTAATCCCCAATGCCTATGTTGTCCTGACCACCCCCCAGCCATCCAGCTGTCTGTCTGTCACAAGGAAAATAAAAACGGCAAGCAGCAGGACTTGTGTATGGTCTATCACATAGGGGAGGGACAGTGGGGAAGGGGACTGAGTCCTAGGACAGGAACATTCTGCCTTCTCTGGGCTAGAAAGAGCCAAGGATTTGTTGACATACACTTGGGATATACAGCTAGAGCCTTGGGATGTTCCCACCCCCTCACCTCTCCTTGTTCTTAGAGGGAAAGCAGTCTGTGGTCTGCTTCTCTTCCTGCAGATTCTGGAATCCTGGCACACTCACTGAATCCCCCCCCCACCCACACACACACAACAGACTTGTTAGCCCCCACCTCTTTTCCCTCATCACAACTAGGGGGAGGCTGGGCTCTGGGATGGGCTGATCCATACCCCAGTTCTGGCTCAGCCTCCTTCACTCTGCCCAGAAGACAGGCCAGCTATGGTCCTGACCCCTGGAGCAGAGTGGGTTTCATCCTGATGGTGTCAAGAGTAGAGGGAAGGCCCATACCCCACACTCTGCGAGCCAATACACAAGGAGTTCCAGCTGGGAATGCTTTGGTCCATCTGGTCTGGGGTTTCCCAAGGGGTAAGAGACATAGCCTAGACCTTTTTGTCCACAGAGCAAGTTAGGGTGTCTGCTAGGTGCTAAGGCATTCTGACTCCAGCTGTTCCTCATGCCACAGAATGATCACTGAGGCACAACTGAGCTACCTTGCCCCAGTGTGAGGTGGAGTAGAAGGAGCTAGGTATCCACTTCTTGAAAATTCTTGGCAAAGTAAAAGGAACAAAACCTCCAACTGTGAGCAGAGAGAGTTGGCACTGGTGTGTTCTGATTGAGATTGAGGACCCCCTGGCTCCCACTCAAACAGCCATTTTGCTCAGCCCAGCCTTGGCTCTCTGGCTTCCCAGGACCCCAGGAAAGAAGCAAGCCCCATCACCATAAAATAACAGGATGTAAAGCCAGCTGGAAGGACTAGAGAGAAGACTTGCCTACCTGTCATTTTAGCAATGAAGATATACAGTTTGCCTGTGAGAATCTCCAATCCCCTACACACTGCAAGTGTTTTTTTATATATATATAAATGAGGTGCCTGAACTCCTATTTTGATAAGTGGTGAAATTCCTCTCCTGTCCCGCCTCTGATCACGAGTTCCCTTCCCATATCCATTGGAAATGGCATGAGAACTGCTTGTTCCAAACCCGGAGGAGCAAAGGTAATTTATGTCAGCAGAGCTGTGTCAAAATTGCTCTGATCAAAAGGTGACAGTACCCCACAACTGGGTGGGGATTTACAATGAATAAAAGCAATGCTCCCACCCGGAGCTCTGGCCTGAGCAAACTGGATTACAGGCATGCTCCAGAGGGGTTAACTGAACCCCTTTTCCCCAGACAGTTTGATCCATGTGCCAGTTTATGGCTCCAAAATGGCTTAGGCAGAGGTAGGGTGTGCAGCCAGTGATGGTGCTAATCTCCAGGGACAGTGCAATCCAGCCAGAACCTACCATGTCACATCAAGGGAAGTGAGTGGGGGTAGCATGGAGGAGCTGCTACTCTCAAAAATCTTCCCTGTCCCCTCTTGGGTTTATTTTGGTCAAGGAACATAGTGTGGAAATGGCAACCCTGGACTCCTAGGGCAGAGGTGGAGGTGCTTCTGCATAGGTCTTGACAACTATGTAGCTCTGTTGTGATTAGCTATATGAACCATGAAGTCTGTGGTCACTCTGGCTTTATTCAGGGATGCTCCCCTCACCAAACACTCGAACCCCCTCAACTGACTGAGTCCTGGGACTGACTGACCTGTGTGTGAAGCTGCCCCAGCAGCAACTGAATCTCTTGTCAGCTAGGGGCCATGTCTGGTCCTCCCAAGGATGGGATTGATACCCTTTGCCCTGGGAGGGGATAGGGCCACGTCCAGCTGTCCAGGTGCTGACATACAGCACACCCCAGAGCCTCTCAGGTTTCCCCAATCCCTACCCCCATTCTGCCCTAGGGGCTGAGCCAGCATCCCAAGCATCCTCAGGCTAAATAAGGAGCCTGATTGGGTAAGGGGGGATGGGGGATGGGGGATGGGGTCCCGGGGGGGCTTGGGCAACCATGCCAAACAAGGCAAGGAGGGGAGTGATGTATAAAACCAAGCGCAGAGCTCAGCACCTGTCTGTGTGCACCCCTACTGGGTCATCTGGAAGGCTCTGTGTCGCCTGCAACCCAGTCAGCCAACTCAAGTCCAGGTCAACCCCTCCAGGGTGAGTCTGATTCTCAGAGAAGCTTCAGATGCTCCCACGCCTGGGAATGTTCTGATCAGATGGGGAAAGGGCCAAAGCTGAGAGCCTCTGTCTCAGCCTGGACCCCCATGTTTGTTGTCTGCTCCCCAGATGTCCAAAGCAGCTCCCACCAAAAAACCAGCAGCTTCAGCCCCACCTCCTGGATGTACCCTGGATATCAATGACCCCCAGGTGCAGAGTGCTGCTATTCGCATTCAGGCCTCTTACAGGGGCCACAGGTGAGGGGGAGCCCTAGAGCTCTACAGAGGAAGGGAGCTGAAGAACACTCCTGAATGGGGGTGAAGGGGGAGGCACAGTGTCAGGACCACTAGAGTCATTGGACTGAGGGGTGAGCAGTTACCGAGGTGTGGAAGGGTGACTGGCAAGAGTGGGTAATTTTATCAGGGTAGTAATTCAGAAGCAGTCCCCTTCCCTACCAACCCCCTGGTGTCTAGCGAGCCTAGGGATGGGCAGGAAAGAGTGTCTAAGGAACTGTGGGCCCTGACCCCTCCCGCGGGTAGGTCCCGGAAGGAGCTGCGCGAGAAGGGGCCACCGAGGGTGCTGGAGCCGCTGAAGGATGTGGTGCTGATAGAAGGTAGCGCGGCCAAGCTGACTTGCCGCATTTCGGCTTTCCCGGACCCGTTCATCCGCTGGAGCAAGGACGGCAAAGAGCTGCGCGATGGGCCCAAGTACCGCTATGTCTTCGAGGACCCTGACGTAGTGGCACTGGTGGTGCGTGATGGTGAGCTGGCAGATCTGGGCCAGTACAGCATCAACGTAACCAACCCCTTCGGCCAGTGCTCTGACTCCGCGCGCATCCTCGTGGAAGGTACGCTTGCCCTAGGCGCAACGCCGGAGGCGCAGAACGCATCACCCAGCGGACGCCGACAGTCTAGGCCAGCCAGGCTCATTTACCGGTGGTCCTAGCCATAGGGTCCTGGCCAGCCCAACACGGGCACAGCCTAGGGCGTATTGCTGCGCTGGCAGTGTATGTACGTCCTTCTCTTCCTTGAGATACGGCCCCACACAATCTGAGCAGTCCATCGCCGGCTACTTCAGGGCCCCGAGATCACACAGCTAGCCAGAGGCACACCCAGGATTAGAGATGGATTTTCTGGCTCCCAACCCTTGGCAATATCCACTGTTGAGAGCCATCTCTGAGGTCCCGCAAGACGTGTGAACAGTTCGGGACTTTCACTCGCTTTATTTCTTTTGATCCTCCCAGCGAGTGACAGGGGTAAGTCCCATTTAACAACTAAGATGTAACTAAAGAGGTTAATGATTTGACTAACGTCACAGTGAGTTAAATGCATCTCGTATTTAGGGCCGGATATTATCTGGGGAGATGATGAGCTGGCCCTGCCTCATCTCCAAGTCCTTCACTGAGTCGCTTTCCCCTTCCCTACCTCTAGTCCCCGCGAAGATTCAAAAGGGACCCGACAACACCAAGGCGCGCAAAGGCACCACGGTGACACTGACCGCGGAGATCCTGGGCGAGCCGGCGCCCGACGTGGGCTGGACCAAGGACGGGGAGGACATCGAGGAGGACGACAGGCGAGGGCTGGGGCCTGTGGCAAGGGCAGGGCCTGGGGTTGGAACCTGGGCAGGACTGAACCCGTAAACACGGCGGGACTGGGAAGAGAGCGGACATCTGGGAAGAGCAGAGCTAGCTAATTAGCCTTAGCCAATGCGTGTAAACTGACCCGCGGCTCCACCCTTTCCCTTCCGTCCGCTCCGCAGGGTATTCTTCGAGATTGGCAGTACCACCACGACGCTGACCATTCGCCGGGCTACGCCCGAGGACAGCGGCAAGTACGAAGTGTACGTAGAGAACAGCCTGGGCATGGACCAGAGCTTCGCTCGCGTGGACGTGGCCTGAAAAGGGCCATCCGACCTTTCGCCCTGGCTTCAAGCCCAGGGGCAGGTGGGACTGACAGTTCTCTTCCAGCTTGTTTAATAAAGTGGCTCTCTCTGACCCTCCGCGTCCATTCTGTTTTGTAGCGTCGCCATTCCCTCTTTCCCGCACCCGCGCCCAGATTTATTCCAGATCCACACAGCAAGGTCACAGGGAATGTTGGGAGTCAGAGGGAAGTTTGGAGAGTGCCCGGTCCAGTGCTTCATTTACAGAAAGCAAATCTGAGATAGGGTTTCTCTCACCGTCGGATGCTCCTGTGTTTCCCAGAGGGACGGGCCATCGAGCTTAGGACTACGCCTTCCCTTCTTTTGTGTCCCTGAATCCCACCTCCTGTAGCAGTTTGCTCCCTGGTCGCGTCCCTTCCAAGCCCCCTGCATCCCCGTCGTCTCCCTTCTCGCTTCTCCCTGTGACCTAGTCAGTGCTCTATTTCGGCTGCTGCCCCCGGGCCCTTTCCCTGGTAGCTTGGCTTCCAGGCTTAGGTTCCACCTCAGCTTCTCAGGCCCCACCCTTCTTCTCATTTGATCCCGCCCCCTCAATTACTTGGCTACACCCTCAGGGTTCACCACCGCCTTCCTTTTCTCTTGTAAAGTTAGACAGGTGCGTGTTGGGGTAGGGTTGGGGGGGGAAAGAGTCTTGAGAACTACAATTCCCGGCAGACCTTGTGAGGGAGCTCTCGCGAGTTGCGAGAAGACACGTGCGCGGAAGGAGCGAGCCGTAGCGAGCGGCAGAGCTGGCAGAAAGAGAGCTAGTGGTAAAGGGATATGGTGGAGGGGCGGCAGGAGGGGTAGGGGCAGGGGTCGGCCACCTACGCAAAGGGAGGTCTTGGAGGATCTGGCTGTCTCTCCGCGTGATCACTCCTCTGTTGGCCTCGCTACCCATGGCAACTAGAGGCTAGTGTTTATGGGACCCTCAGTTGTGGGGTTTCAAGGGTTGGTAATGAATCCTCTGATTCAGAGATTCGACACCTCTCTTAAGTACTCAGGGGGTTGGTAGGTTCAGTGTTTAGGATGCCAAGGGAACCTGTCTTTTGATTCGCGATTCAACATATAGAGGTTAGTTTTAGGATTCCTGTTTAGTTTATGGAGGGTTTTTGCTAGGGTTGGAGTTTCATCAAATGCAGATCAGTGTCAGTTCCATACTCAGGGTTTATTGAAGTTAACTACTTGGGACTCGCTAAGGGTTTGCAGTTTAATATTCAGGGCTTGCAATTGGGATTCAGGGCTTACCAACAATTTGGGAAGAAGTGCGTTTGTGGTTTCTGGTTTTTGAAGTTTGGGGCCAGAGAAGGGTGTCTCTCCCAAGTTTCTGAATTTGCAGAATTTGTTCATGGCCCGAGGGAAGTCTGTTATAGATCAAATTGTGGGGTGTGAATTTCAGAATTGGGAGGCATCACTGTGAGGTTTGAAGGCCAACTGGAATCTGGGTTGGGATTTGAGATGTGTAGTATTTGTGAGATTGTTGTGTCCCATAAAACTTTGGGTTTACTCTTGGGAGAGGGCTAAGTGTGCTATTTGGGACTTGGAGTTTGATCTGAGCTTGATTTCTCTGTTGGGATTTGAGGTAGCAGTCACCATCATGCTCAAAGCTGTGATCCTGATTGGAGGCCCTCAGAAGGGTGAGGTGCTAGGGGAATGGATGAAGGAGGTTGGGATGGAGTGGTTGGTGGGATGGAGGCAGAGGAAGGCAAGAGGCTGAAACGTTCTCTCTCCATTTGCAGGGACTCGCTTCAGGCCCTTGTCTTTTGAGGTGCCCAAACCACTGTTTCCTGTAGCTGGAGTCCCTATGATCCAGCACCATATTGAGGCTTGTGCCCAGGTAACCCTATAGGCTCTCCTCTCTGACCTTGCGTCCTACTCATCTCCTTCATGATGTATTCTCTCTTTCTCAACTATGATCTCTTCCCACCAGGTATAATTCGAACACCATCATTCACAGCTGACAGTGTGAATGGCTACCCCCTAAAGTTGTGCAGTACAGCTGCCCTTCTGTCTTCCCCTAATCTAATCTCTCATCTGGCCTCTTCCTGCTCAAAATTTCACTGTTTTTCACATAAAGTGTGGCATGTGAAATCTGGCAGGGATCTTAGAAACAATTTAAAACCATGGCCTGGGGACCCTTCATGAAAACTAAGCACAAGATTCATAACCTGATCACCATGGAGCTCATTTCTTCATTGCTTTTGACAAAGTTTTTGTTTGAATTCAGACTCCGCCTGCTATGAGGCCTATAGTAAATTTCAAACCTGCTGTAAGCCTGTCTCCTTATCTATAAAATGGGGGTGATTAGACCTAATTTATGGGGTGGCAAAGCTTAGAAATTATGTTTATAAAGTGCCTAGTACAATGCAGGCCCTTAGTAAGTTGAACCCTTACCTTACACTGATCTTAAGCTTAGACTGACAGATAATAAACATGGAGTGAAACTAATGGATTATCCTTTAATGCAGCTTGGTAGGCAAAATCTTTTTTACAGTGGGTTCCACTTCAGGTAGGTGAGGGTAATAGTAAGAGATTGGAAGATCAGGCCTGAGATTTTTTCTAACTTCCTCATTGTCCAGAGGGGAGAACAGAGGCTGAGTGTGGTCTCTGGACTTTGTACCACCACCAGGATTTCCCCAACACTTCTTATTGGACATTTTATCTCCCACCTTCTCTTGTTCTCAGGTCCCTGGGATGCAGGAGATTCTACTTATTGGCTTCTATCAACCAGATGAGCCCCTTACCCAGTTCCTAGAAGCTGCCCAGCAGGAGTTTAACCTTCCAGTCAGGTGTCTGTGCACAAGTACATATATAGGGGTGGGGTGCCCTAGGCCTCTGAGTTCTCAGGAGTGGGTTGAATCAGCACTGGGCGGAATTCACCCTCACATACTAGAAGGATCCTTATTTGGACATCTCCAAATCCTTGAATATATGGAGAGGCTCTATGGGCCCTGGGCAGGAGTACTCCTGGGAGCAGGGTGTGATCAGGTGCACTGGCTCATGGTATCTGTCTCCTTAGATCCACTGAGCTGGCTCTGGGGTTCCTGGGGACAGGTATCTTCAGGAATTTGCACCCCTGGGCACAGGGGGTGGTCTCTACCATTTTCGGGACCAGATCCTGGCTGGAGGCCCCGAGGCTTTCTTCGTGCTCAATGCTGATGTCTGCTCCGACTTCCCCTTGAATGCTATGTTGGCTGCCCACAGACAAGACCGTCACCCTTTCTTACTCCTGGGCACCACGGTGAGGGGACAGGGAGGGCTGGAGGGTATAGAGAGGGTGATCCAGAGAGCTCCCTGGAATGCTGGTGTCAGGGAGGCAAGAACAGCCCTGGAGTTGGAGTGGGAGCTGGCATCTGGAGAGCTGAACCTGCTATAGCAGGAATGCGAGCAGCAGTGGAGACCCTGAGCCCTCTGGCTGTTCAGAAGTAGGGAGGGGGAGGGCAGCTGTCAGTTTTCACCCTTGCCGAAGGCCTGTCACTGGCGGAGCTGCGTGCCAGGTGCTATAGGGGAGAAAAAGAAAGAAAGAAAAAACAGACCTGGCTGCCCCACAGCAGGCAGGTCACTGTCTTGGATATGTCTGTCTTTCAGGCTAATAGGACACAGTCCCTCAACTATGGCTGCATCGTTGAGAATCCACAGACGCACGAGGTGAGAGCAGAGGGGCTGTGCGGGTGCCCACTCTGTGAGTCATTCCCCCATGCCACACCTCTAGAATGCTGGAATGCTATGGGGCAGACCCCAGTCTTGTTGAACAGGTGGGACACTTACCCAATTAATCATCTTACATCCCTTTGAGAAAGGTTGGCTGGGGAAAGGGGTAATAGTCCATTTCTATGAGCATGGTGCTAAAAAAAATACATGCACAAAGTGCTGTGAGAACACAAAAGAGGGGCCCAGCCCAGCCTTGCCTGCTTAGGGATGGGGAGGGCTTCCTGGAGGAAGTGAGATCTGAGCTGGGTTTGATTTGTTTAGATGAAGAAAGAGAAAGGAAGACATTGCAGGCAAAGGGAACAGCATGTGCACAGACATGGAGGCACAAATGGCATAATGCCTCCACAGAAGAGGAGAGAGTAATAGGCAAGGCAGGCGGTCTCATCTGTTTGTCACACTCCCTGCCCTGAGCCTAATTGACTGTCACACACCTCTTTTATTTGTTCATGCTTTAATTTAAAATGTACATATAAACACACATGCAAACACACATGTTTTGTGCCAGGCACCAGATAGGTATGAGAGAAACACAGTCAAAAGGCACAGTCCTGGGTGGTGCCTGTGGCTCAAAGGAGTAGGACACCGGCCCCATATACCGGAGGTGGTGGGTTCAAACCTGGCCCTGGCCAAAAACTGCAAAAAAAAAAAGGCACAGTCCCCCACTCTCTGGTCGCCCTCAATCTAGTGAGAGAGACAAAGTCAAAAGCCAACCTTTGCAAATGACACAGTGTCACAGGTAAGGTGTGGCCACAGACCAGAGGTGCTCAGGCAAGAATAACTAACTCTGAGGCCAGCAGGAGAGGACTCAAGAGTGAGTGACAGTGTCACCTGAGTTTGGAAAGGTGTTTTTTCGAGATGAAGAGATGGGAAAGGGCATTCCAGGCACAGGCATGCACAGGCACCAAATTATGTTCTGGGAGTGCTAGGAGGTGGGGAGGGTCGAGCAGGGAAGTGTGGAGTTTGGACTTATCTGAAGGTGAATCAGGTGACAGCAATTGTTGCATGGTTTAAAGCCAAGCAGTGGCAGAACGTGTGCTGCATTTTAGAAAGACCACCTTGGCAGCAGGGAGGAGGGTCAGGGAGGGCCTGGAGATCACAGGGTCTCAGGGGACTCTGGCAGTGGGCTCCTCCTCTACTGAACCCAGCTTGCTCTGTCCTCAGGTCCTGCATTATGTGGAGAAACCCAGCACGTTTATCAGTGACATCATTAACTGCGGCATTTATCTCTTCTCCCCTGATGCCTTGAAACCTCTTCGGGATGTCTTCCAGCGCAATCAGCAGGATGGGCAACTGTGAGGCAGGCCCCATGACCCTGTGACCCCAAGTACTCCCATTCCCCGACCCAGAACACTCCAGTCTCTGCAGGCTCCATCTCAACCTGCTCATCTTCCTCCTCCCTCCTCCCTTCTCCACCTCTCATCTCCAGCCAGCCTCCTGAGCCCCTCCCCTTCTAACCTCATTCTGTCCCTCTTCCTTATCCATCCCAGTTCCTCTGTCACAGCCTGCCCACTCCCCTTCTGATCCATTTCTCTAAAGCCCTGAGTATCCCAGAGATGTCTTTCAGAACAGGTGGCAACACACAGTTGGGTCATACATGCTCAGTGCAGACACAGCCACACCCACTCTCAGGCTGAGGCTCCCCTTGGAATCTAGCACCCAGAGTATTGCTCACCACAGTCTCAGGGTCACCCACCGAGGCCCAAAAGCTATTCCCTTCTAGGGACCTCCCCTCCCCTCCCTTGCCAGTCTCCCCATCTCATGCATTTTTCACTCATGGCCATTTCTCACTCCCATCTATGTCTCTGCTTCTCTCTCCACCTCTCCTGGCCTCTCTGTCTATTTCTGCTGAGCTGGCATCTCTACCATCTCTCTCTCCCTCTTTCTATGACTGTCTCTGCCCTCACCAGCTGCCTTGCTCTGGGGTGAGTCTGTCTGTGTTTCATTCCATCCAGTGAGGGGGAGGGTAACTTGTGGGGGGATAGAGGATTAAATGGGGAGGAGAATGTGCACATAGGGAGAACTCCTTTTGGACATGGAGACACGGAGCAGGGATGGGAGGAAGGTCTGTGCCTAGGGCTCCCTTGTGATAGTGTCTACCAAGCTGGGGCTGGAGGTGGGAAAAATGTTCCTGGGCAAAACTGGAATGGGGCTTGGAGAGGCAGTAGGAATCCCTCTTATTCCTGTCTCTGAGAGACTGTATTGGCCCCACAGGTGGGTTGGTGCCCCTCTTTCTCACTGGGGAACTGATGTCAGCATTCTTGCTTTCTGCCAGGGAGGACTCTCCGGGCTTGTGGCCGGGGGCAGGTACCATCCGCCTGGAGCAAGATGTGTTCTCAGCCCTGGCAGGACAGGGCCAGATATATGTGTACCTCACTGACGGTATCTGGAGCCAGATCAAGTCTGCAGGGTATGAAAGGCTGGGAGTGGAGTGTTCCATGGCTCTTATGGGGAGGCTGGGTTACCTGGAGGTTGAGACTTTGGGGTAGTGGGCACAGGCCCTGCTGGCCCCTGAGCCCCTGTCCCTACCTTGTGGCTCCCAGTTCAGCCCTCTATGCCTCCCGCCTCTATCTGGGCCGTTATGAATTCACTCACCCAGAACGGCTGGCCAAGCATACCCCAGGAGGTCCACAAATCAGAGGTACCCACCCTGCCCCAATTCTTAACCTTTGCCCTCTGCCCCATACCCCTCTGCCCTCTGAGCCAGGACTCCTGACCTCAGGTCCAGAGTTGAAGTCTCAATCCCTGCCCCTTCCCATCCAGATATGGTTTGGGGTATTTGGCCCCAGGGCCTCTCTTCTGCTTCTAGGAAACGTTTACATCCACCCAACAGCTAAGGTGGCCCCATCGGCTGTGGTAAGCAGTGGGCCTAGCCCTGGGGTTAAGACGGGTGGTGGTCAGGATGGGTGGGTGCCACAGGTCTCTCTACTTTATCACAGTCTGAGGTATGGCCTTGAGCAGATAGATCACTTCCCCCTCATTTGTTCTAGGAAGGAATTGGACTGGGGATCCACAAATCTCTCCAAGGCTTATAGTACGTGCTCCTCTTCACAGCTAGGGCCCAATGTCTCCATTGGCAAGGGAGTGACGGTGGGTGAGGGCGTGCGTCTCCGTGAGAGCATTGTCCTTCATGGAGCTACGTTACAGGTAGGCACCAGGGTACACATGGCAGTGTGTGACACCCCAAGGGGCTGAGGGGAGGGCCCAGTATCCCCCTCAGAGCAGAAAAGGGTGAACTCCATGGGCTCTGCATCTGGCCACACCTCTCACACAAACACTGCATCCCCCAGCCCCTATCCTCTTCCTGCTGCTTTCCCTTCACCTTTTACCATCCTGTTGGACAGGAGCACACGTGTGTTCTGCACAGCATTGTGGGCTGGGGAAGCACCGTGGGACGCTGGGCCCGCGTGGAGGGTACTCCCAATGACCCCAACCCCAATGACCCCCGAGCCCGCATGGACAGTGAAAGCCTCTTCAAGGACGGGAAGCTGCTGCCTGCCATCACCATCCTGGGTATGGCTTCCCCGGGGTCTGGGGTTGAGAACCCCCACAGGTGATGGCCTGCAGTCTTCTGAGTGTGCCTGAGTTTCTTCTTTTAGCAAACAGTTAGCAAGTGCCTGCTGTGTGCCAGGCCCGTGTGAGTCACTGGGGGCATGAGGCCAGGGGCGCAGATGGGCTGGGAAGAATCCCTCCCTGCTGGCAGTGGCCCTTGGCTCCTGCCGTGACCTCCCTCTGGTGGCCCGTCCACACTGCAGGCTGCCGCGTCCGGATCCCTGCTGAGGTGCTCATCCTGAACTCGATTGTTCTGCCACACAAGGAGCTGAGCCGAAGCTTCACCAACCAGATCATCCTCTGAGGGGGCTGTCAGAGGCCCCCTCAACTCCCACTGGCTCCTCTGGAGGCTGCGTTCTGTTTGGCCAGCCTCTGTCCAGGAAAGACCAGAGGAAGCCAGGCAGGACCTTCACATTCCAGGAGCAGTGTGGGTGGCCGGGACTCCTAGCTTCCCTCCCCACTCCCTAATAAACCCGGTGAACCTTGGAGCCAGCATGGACTCCGCCTGTGCCTGGGTTGGGGGTGGAGGGGCGGAAGCGGGGCAGCTGAGTCAGACCCCCCCCACATTAGCATTTAAATTGGAGTCGTAGCTGCGGGCTCATGAATAATGAATCTGGAGCCTGGGTAAATCTCCCCCTCCCACCTCAGCCTCTGATACTCTTCTGGGCTCCCCAGCCCCCAGGTCCCACCCTTGCTTGTCTGCCTCCTATCCCTCCTCCCTGGGCTTGGCTCACGCTCCCAAGTATAAGGATCCCACAGGGCACAGTGAAAGATTCTGGTTGGGTTGTGGGCACAGGAGTTGGGGCCACAGGCCTGGAGGCTGGTCCCTGTGGCCCACTCTGCTTGGTTCCTGCAGAGCCCCATTCGTGGCCTGTGTTCCGAGTTGCCAGCTCCATCTGCTCCCAGCCTGGCTTTTGGCAGGATGGGGGTTTCGCCCCCGCCCTAGACCTAGAGTCTCAGTCTCCAGCTCCCCTGGTAGGCAGGGCAAGTCGGAGCCCTTGCCTTTCTTTCTGGAAGCACAGTGGGAGGTGCCGTTTTGGGACGGGCCAGTCTATCTCCCATCACCCTGGCTCTGCCTTTTGGGAGGTTTCCACTCTACTCTCCCTAACATCTCTCATGTTTGCTCATGACCCCCGTATGCCCCTCTAGGTACCCCCCTTTTCCCAGCTGTGAGTGCAGAACCAAGTTGCCAGATGAGCTGGTAATGATCGTAATCTGCTAATTGAGAGGAATCTAATTACCCGAAGAGAACTGGGGGGGGCATGGCGTGGGTGGAGGGAGGAGGGGGTCCTGGCAGCAGGCAGGGGTGGCAGGCGGCAGGGTGCCGGGGCCTTGTTAGCACCAGGGTCTGGGACAGAGCCTAGGATTTCATGGCTTTGTAGCTGGGCAGTTAGGAAGATGTGCTTTCTCTGGAGTTGGGGATTGGGCTAGATGTGACCTCCTAGCCCTCTCAGGCCCTGGAGGCTTTGTGGGAACATGTGGAGAGTACCTCAGGGGGGTTGACAGTCCTATCCTATAACCTGCCTCTGCTCATCCCTGCCTCCATCATCGTCTGCATGGGGCTGGAAGGGGGCTGCAGGTCCCCACTTTGGGTCTGGGGTCATCATCCCAAGGAAGGGGCTAAAAGAGGAATGGACCCTAGGGGGCAGGGCTGGGTCCCTTCCTTCTCCTCCCCCTCTTCCTGACCCTTCTGTTCCGAGTGGTTGGCAGAGGCCATGGCAGTTCCATCATAAATATGATAATTTAATTATTTTCTCAGCAAAACACCGTGAAATCCAATAAGTCTGTGTCAGGCCCTGGCCCCCGGGATCCCCCTCCTAGACCTTGTCGGGGTGGGGATGTGATGGGGAGAGGCTTGGAAGGGGACAGGGTCAGTGTTTGAAGGGGAGTCAGCTAGTAAAGCCAGATCTTTGTAATTAACATGCCCCACTAGGCTGAGGGGGCCATGGTTGGGGGTCTCAGAAAGATAGAGGTAGTAATGTCCCCCACTCCTCTCCAGTCTGATTTTTTGGAGGGAGGGACCTAAGGTGTGGGAGCACCTTCCCTCTGGAGGGGGAGCAGGGAGCCCCCTTCTACCACCTCCCGGACCCTGCACCCAACCTTCATTGGCCCTGTTGGGGTAGGAGGGTGCGGGCCCCAGTGAGGGATTGACTAGGGAGAAACGAGGGAATGGGTGGAAAGTGGGGGGGGTGAGGGGGGGGATGCGGGGGAGGGGTGTGCTCCTGCCATTAGTGCTTTTTTCGGTTTCCATAAAAAGATTATTCTGTAGAATCAGCGAGGGGGAGCAAGCTGGGGGCCGGGAGGGGGGTGGGTCCCTGGCACCAAGCTGGATGGGGCTACAGGGGAGGAGAGCTGGGGACAGGGACTGAGTGTGGAAAGAAATTTGGATGGGCTTCAGGAGCCAGTCGAGGGGAGAGCCTGAGCCAAGAACACAGAAGGGGGAGGCTGGCCAGGCTGGGGCGGGGCGGGGCAGGGTACTCATCTCCCTCCTGTCCCTTTGGTCAGGCTGCCTAGGACCCAAGTCCCACCCTCATCTCAATCCCTCCCCTGGCACTTAACTGCCATTACTGGGGAGCAGATTGCAGCCCCCTCCCCCTCTCTGGGAAGCAGGCACAGCTGGGCCCCGCCACATCTGCCGCATCAGCACCGAGCACAGCTGGGTGTGCCCAGAGCCTCGCTCCCCCAAAACACAGAGGGTGGGCAGGGGCCAAGGAGAGCCCAGACCCCCGAGGCATACACACTGACACCTCTGCCAACAGACACATACTCCTTGAGGCGAAGCTACACCCACCAACACACGCTCCCTCGTGTGCAGAGACGGGAGAACTGGCAAACACGCAATTACCCAGCCCCGCCTGCCACCCCCGCTCCCCTCCCCCAAGCCCTCCTCTTCCCTTACCTTCCCCTGGGACTCCCCTCCACCACCAGGGACACCTTTGAGCTGCCCTGGGTTCTAGTAGGAAGCAGGAGGAGGCTCAGAGAGCAGAAGGGCAGAGGGTGCTGAGGTGTGAGCCCTGGGAAGCTACCTGCCCTCCTTCCAACCTCATAACCCTCCTCACAAAGTAACCCCCTCGGAAACTGGTCCTTACTGAAGCCTGAACATGATGGGGTCTCTGCCCTGTTCCCTGTGGTACTCTTGGGTTCCATCCGCTACCTCTAGGAGGCGCTGTGTGTCCTCAGTCTCTCAGCGGTTCCCACTCCCCTGCCACTCCCTCTGATAATCCACTGGTACCCTACCCTCAGCAGGGTGCTCTCTGCATAGCACTACAGCCCCTGACACACTGGGCATGGGGCCTCATCGATGGCAGAAAGGCCCCCTCCGCAGAACAGACAGATCAGGAGTTCTTTCCTCCTTTCCCAATCTGTGACCACCTCTAGGCTCCCCTTTTGCAGCCCTCATTTTTCCCATTCATCTCCTTGGCCTTGGTGTCTTGCCCTCAACCCTCTCCTTCCTGTCCCCCACCCTATCCC